TTATATTTCACTGGTTGTTACCATCTCCTGTTGTTGATGGGGTTTAACTATGAGTCGATCTTATTGAATAACAGCAAAGTTTCTCCTCTCTGGCCTGTTTCATAGCTGGAAGCAGGTCGTCCTCTTCTTCCTTCTTTTTTTCCAATATATTTTATTGAATTTTTCTCTTTTAAGGTACAATAAACTCGCAAACAAACTTAACATTGCAGACATGAACTTCTGCACACTGGCTTTCACTCAACATTCAATCTGCATTTGTTCTAAAATATACAAAACTCTTTAGATTATGACTCAGAAAAATAACAAGACAATATGGAAATAAAAGCTGTATTCAAGACATCCATTTAATAAGCTCCGCCTTCAGTCTCTATGGTCCTCATATATGGCTCCCAGAGGTTCTCAAAGTCTTGCTGTTTACCCATGGCGATATATGTTAATCTTTCCAGTCCGAGCGAATTTGATTTTTCTTTTTTCCAGAGTCTCAGGGAGGGGGCGTCCATGCTCCTCCTGTATAATGCAATAGATCTTCTGGCTTGAAGAAGTCCATAATCTATCAATTTGGTTTTAGTCTGTGATTGTTTAAATATCACTGGGTATATTCCTAGAACACAGATTTTAACCTCTAATGGGAACCTTAAACACTTCAGATAGACACCTAATAACCTCCCTCCAAAACTTCTGGATTTTAAGACATTCCTATAAACAGTGGAGAAGAGTTCCTTTTTCAAATAAGCATTTAATATCACTGGACATATGATGAAGCCTAACTGGTGTTATATAGGTTCTCAACAGCCATTTATTTTGCAGAAGTTTAAATCGTGTTTATCGTTTGTTTTTGTATTTTAAACAGGCCTGGTTCATGTACTCCTCATCTATATCTTCCAGAGTCTCTCTTCTCCAAGCGTCTAACTTGTCAATTGCTGAATCCTTAGCGGAAAGCATCAACAGATTATAGAAAACCGACAGAAAACCTTTCCCTTTTAAGACCCCAACACAGATCTGTTCTATTTTTGTTAAGGGTGGAATATCAACTATTCCTTTCATTTTTGATGACATATAGTTTTTCAGTTGTAAATATTTAAAAAAGTGTTTTGGGGGTATTAAATACTTCTTGCTTAGCTGGTCAAAAGTAAACAAACTGCCATCAGCATCGAGATCTTTAACTTTCTGAAGGCCTTTGGTTTTCCATATTTTAAATCCTCAATCATTTTTTCCAGGGGGGAACCTTTCATTGCCCCAAATCGGGGTAAATTGCGATAATTCTGGTTGGTCACCTGCATGTTTATGTGCTGCGTACCAAGTTATAATTGTACTTTTTATGAATGGGTTCTTTGTGGTTTTTTTTGTGTTTTTATGTCTGAAGAATGTATGAAGGTGTTTAATGGGAAATCTGGAACAGATTGCTGTTCAATATCTACCCAAGCTGGAGGCGCCTTTGGGCAGCAGTAATGGGTGGCTGATGTTAGATGGGCGGCCATATAATACCGTCTGAGGTTGGGGACTTGAAGTCCACCTCTTTCATAGAGTAGCTTTAGACGGAGTCTTGCTTTTCTATTACTCCAAATAAATTTATTAAATAATTTGTCCAAATTGTCATAAAATGAATCTGACAGTGGCAATGGAAGTGTTTGAAAATAGTACAAAAATTTGGGCAAGATTGTCATTTTTAATACATTTATTGGACCTGTCATGTATATAGGCTAATTTGACCTTCGATTTAACATTTCTGTGACTTTTTCCACAAAGGGTTCATAATTTGCTGCGTTTATTTCATTGAGGGAGGGGGGAGGGATCTTAATGCCTAAGTATGTAAAACCTTTTGTAGTTGTTTTGAATGGGGTAGTCACAATAGGACTTCTCCTTTCATCTTCATTAAGAAACATTAACTCTGATTTTGAGTTATTAATTTTATATCCTGAAAATTCGCCAAATTCTTTTATTAGATTTAGTAAACTGGGAATACTGGTCTTCAAATTATTTATAAAAAATATGATGTCGTCTGCAAACAAGGAAATGAGATGTTCTCTTCCTCCAACTCTAATACCTGATATTCCAGTATTTGCTCTAACTGCCATCGCCACAGGTTCTATTGCCAATACAGAAAGCAGTGGTGACAGGGGGCAACCCTGTCTGGTTGATCGTTGCATATTAAAAGGTTTTGACATGTTATTATTGGTTAAAACTTGTGCTGTGGGATCAGTGTATAATAGTCTTATCCATTTTAGAAAGGCTTCACCAAATCCATACTTAGGAAGCACTTTAAATAGGTAGTTCCACTCTATTCTATCGAAAGCTTGACGTGCGTCTAATGATAGCATCACTGTGTCCTGACAATCATGTTTTTTATGCAATACATTTAGAACCCGTCTAATATTATGTGTTGTCGGAAAATTTTTATCTCTTTTCTATTATATATTAATTTATTCTATTTACTCACTATAAAAGTTTAGTGGCAGAGCTTCTTCCATAACAAACCAGATTCTTTCTCCAGGTTTATTCATAACATGTTACTGTTTAACCAAAGTGTTTATAATTAGTTTTGACTCTGACTGTTTTCCATTGTTGTCAGTAAGGAGGAACGAACGCTGCTGGATCAGAACAGGGCAGAATGCTGCCATTAGGGCTGCATGATGAACTGCTCTCTCTTTGCAAAGATATGAATAAATGTGCCGACTGACTGAAATCCATCCATCTCCGTTTATTTACCTAGGATGAATAGTTGAATGCTTTCGCCTTTGTGAGAATAAGTTCTTTGTCCTTGTAGCGTAGAAATTTTACAACAACTGGTCTTGGTTTTGTTGTTTGAAGTTTCCAATACGGTGAGCTCTTTCAATTTCAATAGATTTCGGATCAATTTTAAGCTCGTCATTAAAAAATTCCCTCACTTTCTTCTCAGAATCTGGCCAAGATTCCAATGCACTATCCTGGGTTAAGCCATCGATTATCAGATTATTTCTGCGACTCTGATTATCAAGGAAATGAATTTTTGAGGCAAGATAATTCACTTCAGATTTAGTGCACAGTGAGGACAGCTGCTGCAGCTGAGATTCAAATGAGTCCATCTTCTCCTCCATTGCCCTAAAGTCATCAATATAAGCTTGGGAGAACTGAAGGCTGGTCTTCACCTCCTGCACATCTTTAATAATCCCATCAGTTCTAGTGTTTACAGAATGCAGCATTGTTTCTATGAAAGACAGGAAGCTTGATTCTTGCCTATCTAGCATGCCAACAATGTAAAACTGCTTTTGTTCTTCCAACATGTCTTTCAAAACATCCATAGTGACATAGTTTTCTTCATTGTGAAGTGATTTCTTGCTGCTACTTCGTGACATGAGTGCCTGTTTTTGTGGATGATTGTGGATTTTAAAGAGGCCAGAGACCCAGCATGTGATCCAGGGAGGAAGGCCAAGGCTGGTGAAGATCCTTCAAATATCAGCGCTTTCAAAGACATCCAGTCCTTTTAGTTCGGTTATCCTTTCAGTTAGAAGTTAAGAAAACTTGTTGTAGAAAAGTATCATCATGCGCCGGGATTGACGGCGCAGGTTGATCATAAATAACTGAATTTGAAATATTTTATCTTAAATAAATAACTGCGTTTGATTCACACAGCCACATGTTCATGTTTCTGGTTTGGAGTGGAGAGGGAGTTTCCACTCATCGGGCAGAGAGCTGTGTGCATTCTTCTTCCCTTTGCCACATCATATCTCTGTGAGATGGGCTTTTCTGTTGCTTCACTGAAAACAAAGCCTGCAAGCCCGTTTTGATAAACTGTGCAATGCGAAACAGGCTCATTGCAGCCACTAATGCAGGGATAAATAGACCTGTCTTGCCAGATGGATTTCACTTCTTTTCTTTTATTAACAGAGTGGCACTTTAATTTTTTCTATCTTTGAGCTGCATTTTTATTTTCTTTATTTTTGTTTTTATTTTCTTTATTTTTGAGCTTGCTGTTATTTGATGTAGATAGTTTGTATTTAGATACTACTTGTTACTTCAATAAAATTGGAACATTTTAAGATTGTTTCATATTTCATTAGCATTGTGTTGGGGCGATGGGGACAGGCGGGGCTTGAAAATTCCCCCTTGTCCAAAGTGGGGAATGACAGAAAAGGTTTGAGAACCACTGCTTTAGTCCATCATCCTGTTCATCCAATAAAATCAGCATTCATTAAAAACCTGTAGATGAACAGTCCCCCCCCCCCCCAGTCAAAGATATATGGACAATAATCAATTATAAAACAAAGACTTTTTCACTTTATAATGCCAGCAGTACAGAGCAACCTATGACCCCCCCCCCCACACACACACACACTCCTGTCTGTCTGTGGGAGTGGGGGTTCAGGTTGATTGATAACCCCCCCCCCCCCACCCCACCCCTGCAACTCCTGGATCCGTCCCTGATTAGAGAGAGACTCACTGCTGGCTGCCTATTACATCACACAACACTAAAACCTCCTAGGCCCCCCAGGTCCCTTAGGCCCCCCAGGTCCCCTAGGCCCCCCAGGCTCCTCAGGCCCCCCAGGTCCCTTAGGCCCCCCCAGGCTCCTCAGGCCCCCCAGGTCCCTTAGGCCCCCCAGGTCCCCTAGGCCCCCCAGGTCCCTTAGGCCCCCCAGGTCCCTCAGGCCCCCCAGGTCCCTTAGGCCCCCCCAGGCTCCTCAGGCCCCCCAGGTCCCTCAGGCCCCCCAGGTCCCTTAGGCCCCCCCAGGCTCCTCAGGCCCCCCAGGTCCCCTAGGCCCCCCAACCCCTACTCATTACAGGTCTGGGACCTGTCAGCCATAAACAGCAGAACAGGTGTGAGAGGAGCAGACCTGTAGCTGAGCAGCAGGACAAGGAAAGGTGTCCTAGTCAAAGCTCAGGACTAGAGCTTTTACTCCATCACTGCTCTAAATGTTATTCTATGTTCTCTATTTCTATGTGAATCTTCTCTCTCTAGTCACTCTGATCTAACTGGAACTTTTCTATGGTAAACTCATAAATGCGGGATGGCCACGCCCCTCCGGAAGATGACGTCTAACGGGTCACGTGGACAGGATGAGAAAAACCTCCGACTGTGATTCGCGGGAAAGTGAAAAAAAAATGGCGGATGGGAGAGTTTGAAGTTCAGCAGCGCGAAACCGAGAGAGAAGTAACGGGTCAGAACCAGAACCAGAACCCGCCTGAACCGGTACCGAACCGGTACCGAACCCAACGACCACCGGACACCCAGCGGCTCTGACCGGAACGGAAGGAGGGCACACCGCTTCAGAGGAGGTGAGTCCGAACCGGTCCGGTTCTGTTCATGGCTCCGAGCTCCAGAGAGATAGAGAGTAGCAGGTGGTGTTCTGCTCTCTGCGGTCAGCAGCTTAGTTAACGCTCTACTAGCAGGGAGGCACTGCGCATGCGCAGAACTGTCAGAAACCCCCGGAGCTGTCCTCCATGTCCCTGTCCCACTGCAGCTGTCCTCCCTGTCTCACCCTGTCCCATTGCAGCTGTCCTCCATGTCCCTGTCTCACCCTGTCCCACTGCAGCTGTCCTCCCTGTCCCTCTCTCACCCTGTCCCCCCTGCAGCTGTCCTCCCTGTCTCACCCTACATCCCACTGCAGCTGTCCTCCATGTCTCTGTCCCACTGCAGCTGTCCTCCCTGTCACTCTCTCACCCTGTCCCCCCTGCAGCTGTCCTCCCTGTCTCACCCTACATCCCACTGCAGCTGTCCTCCATGTCTCTGTCCCACTGCAGCTGTCCTCCATGTCCCTGTCTCACCCTGTCCCACTGCAGCTGTCCTCCCTGTCACTCTCTCACCCTGTCCCCCCTGCAGCTGTCCTCCCTGTCTCACCCTACATCCCACTGCAGCTGTCCTCCATGTCTCTGTCCCACTGCAGCTGTCCTCCCTGTCTCACCCTGTCCCATTGCAGCTGTCCTCCATGTCCCTGTCTCACCCTGTCCCACTGCAGCTGTCCTCCATGTCCCTGTCTCACCCTGTCCCACTGCAGCTGTCCTCCCTGTCACTCTCTCACCCTGTCCCCCCTGCAGCTGTCCTCCCTGTCTCACCCTACATCCCACTGCAGCTGTCCTCCATGTCTCTGTCCCACTGCAGCTGTCCTCCCTGTCCCTCTCTCACCCTGTCCCACTGCAGCTGTCCTCCCTGTCCCTCTCTCACCCTGTCCCACTGCAGCTGTCCTCCCTGTCCCTCTCTCACCCTGTCCCCACTGCAGCTGTCCTCCCTGTCCCTCTCTCACCCTGTCCCCCCTGCAGCTGTCCTCCCTGTCCCTCTCTCACCCTGTCCCCCCTGCAGCTGTCCTCCATGTCCCTGTCTCACCCTACATCCCACTGCAGCTGTCCTCCATGTCTCTGTCCCACTGCAGCTGTCCTCCCTGTCCCTCTCTCACCCTGTCCCCCCTGCAGCTGTCCTCCATGTCTCACCCTGTCCCTCCTGCAGCTGTCCTCCATGTCCCTGTCTCACCCTACATCCCACTGCAGCTGTCCTCCATGTCTCTGTCCCACTGCAGCTGTCCTCCCTGTCCCTCTCTCACCCTGTCCCCCCTGCAGCTGTCCTCCATGTCTCACCCTGTCCCCACTGCAGCTGTCCTCCCTGTCACTCTCTCACCCTGTCCCCCCTGCAGCTGTCCTCCATGTCTCACCCTGTCCCCACTGCAGCTGTCCTCCCTGTCACTCTCTCACCCTGTCCCCCCTGCAGCTGTCCTCCATGTCTCACCCTGTCCCCACTGCAGCTGTCCTTCCTGTCCCTGTCTCACCCTCCGTCCCCCTCTGTCTCCTCCTGTCTCTCCCCCTCTCTCACCCCTGTCTCCTCTGTGTCTCCAGGATGTACGAGGACCTGGGTGAACCTTTCTGCGGTCTGGACCCTCAGGTGTCTCCTGGGGGGCTGCTGGAGGAGGAGGAGGCGGAGCCTAACCTGAGCGAGGGTCAGTTTGTTCTGTGTCGTTGGTCTGATGGACTTTATTATGTTGGGAAGATCCAGAGGGTGAGTTAATCTGCACGGCGCCTCCTGACAGCGGCCTCTTCTGATTGGCCGGCCGCTCTGACTCTGTTGTTCTGATTGGTTGACAGGTCAGCCCCCCCAGGCAGAGCTGCTTCGTCACATTCGAGGACAACTCCAAGTTCTGGGTCCTTTGGAAGGACATCCAACACGGTGAGGGGGACACTAGAGCCAGGAAAGCAGAACCAGGAGACCAGTACCAGGGGACCAGAACTAGAACTAGAACCAGGGGACCAGAACTAGAACCAGGAGACCAGAACCAGGAAACCAGTACCAGGGGACCAGAACTAGAACCAGGAAACCAGAACCAGGGGACCAGAACTAGAGCCAGGAAACCAGAACCAGAACTAGAACCAGGAGACCAGAACTAGAACCAAGAAACCAGAATCAGGGAACCTGGCCTGGAACCAGGGAACCAGAACCAGGGGACCAGAACTGGGACCAGGGAACCAGAGCCAGGAAACCAGTACCAGGGGACCAGAACTAGAACCAGGAAACCAGAACCAGAACTAGAACCAGGGGACTAGAACCAGGAAACCAGAACCAGGAAACCAGTACCAGGGGACCAGAACTAGAACCAGGAAACCAGAACCAGAACTAGAACCAAGAAACCAGAATCAGGGAACCTGGCCTGGAACCAGGGAACCAGAACCAGGGGACCAGAACTGGGACCAGGGAACCAGAGCCAGGAAACCAGTACCAGGGGACCAGAACTAGAACCAGGAAACCAGAACCAGAACTAGAACCAGGGGACCAGAACTAGAACCAGGAAACCAGAACCAGGAAACCAGTACCAGGGGACCAGAACTAGAACCAGGAAACCAGAACCAGAACTAGAACCAGGGGACCAGAACTAGAACCAGGAAACCAGAACCAGGAGACCAGAACCAGGAAACCAGTACCAGGGGACCAGAACTGGGACCAGGGAACCAGAGCCAGGAAACCAGAACCAGGGGACCAGAACTAGAACCAGGGAACCAGAACTTGAACCAGGAAACTAGAACCAGGGGACCAGAACGAGAACCAGGAAACCAGAACCAGGGGACCAGAACTGGAACCAGAACCAGGGGACCAGAACTAGAAAAAGGGAACCAGAACCAGGGGACCAGAACTGGAACCAGAACCAGGGGACCAGAACGAGAACCAGGGGACCAGAACCAGGAGACCAGAGTGTTTATGGGTCAGCCAGAGTGGGTCTGGGCTACCAGAACCAGCTGGACTTTAGTTGGGTCCAGAACCAGACCAATTCCACCGCAGAGATGATGAAGAATGAAAAGGTATCTGATGATGGCCCAATTGGACCCGAACACGGCCTGAAATCTGAACCTGGTTCCGACCCGTTCATCTGACTAAATAGTTTTTTTCTCGATGATTGGTGTGAAGGCGGCCATGTTGGTCCTGGAGAACCAGACAGAACATCAACTGGTCCATCAGAAGCGTCCACACTTGCTTCTGGTATTGATCCTAATTCTGTCCAATCACGTTGCAGCTGGCGTCCCAGGGGAGGAGCTTCGCTGCTCGGTGTGTCAGGGGGCGGAGCCTAAACTGGACCAATCGAAGCTGACCAATGACATCCTGATCTGTGGGAAATGCGGCATTGGTGAGTGTGCTGTGGTTGTCATGGTGACCAGCTGCTGCCGGTCCTGCTGGTGTTTGGAGAGCAGGAACCACAGAAGAAGAGGTACAGTGAGGCGGTCAGCCAGCCAGCAGGGGGCAGCAGCTCCTCTCACCTGTCTGTGTTCCAGGGTTCCACCAGCTGTGCCACGTTCCTCCAGTAGAGGGCTCCGTCAGCGAGCTGAGCCCGTGGTTCTGCAGGCGCTGCGTCTTCGCTCTCGCCGTCCGGGTACCACCTCTGCTCAGTCCCACCCTGTTCTGTTGTCATCGCTGGCTCTGTCTGACCCGTCTGTCTCCCCCCCCCCCCAGAAGGGCGGCGCCCTGAGGAAAGGTCCCATCGCCAAAGCGCTGTGGGCCATGAAGCAGGTTCTGCCGTACGACCTGCAGACCCTGAGCTGGGACTCTCAGCACCGCTCCAATCAGCAGCAATGCTACTGCTACTGTGGCGGGCCTGGAGAGTAAGCTGACCAATCAGAGAGCTCGCTGGGCTGGTGACGACCATGATGATGATGATGATGATGGTTTGTTCCAGGTGGTACCTGAAGATGCTGCAGTGCTTCAGGTGTCAGCAGTGGTTCCATGAGGCCTGTACCCAGTGTCTGCAGGACGCCATGATGCTGGGGGACAGGTGGGTCTGTCTCAGGGGGGGACAGACTGTCCTCAGGTGTTGTTCTGATGGTCCTCCTTGTCCTCCTCAGGTTCTACCTCTTCCTCTGCGCTGTGTGTAACAAAGGTTCGGAGTACGTCCGCCGTCTGTCCCTTAGGTGGGTGGACGTCGTCCACCTGGCGCTTTATAACTTGTCCCTCAGCAGTAAGAAGAAGTACTTTGAGCTGGACGAGATTCTGTCCTTCGTCTCCACTAACTGGGACCACTTCCAGCTGGGGAAGGTAGCGGAGCTCCTGGTCCAGATGGAGTCACTGCCGGCAGTCAGCTGACCGCTTCTGTTTGTGTCCCCTCAGCTGTCCAACACACCCCCAGCAGAAAGGGGGCAGCACCTTCTGGACGCCCTCAACAAATACAAGAGCAAGTAAGCAGCCCGTCTAGAACCATAGATCTACATTCACATGCTGGCCTCAGAGGGTCAGGAAGGTTCTGGCAAAGCAGCTGGACCGTCCACTGAGACATGGAGTGGACGGTGTGTCCCTGAAGGAGTTCTGTCCCGTTTGTCTCCAGGTTCCTGTGTGGGAAGGAGATCAAGAAGAGGAAGTGCATCTTCTGCCTGAGGACCAGGGTTCCTCCAAACCCGCCTAGCAAGCTGTTTCCTGAGCGCGCTCAGAGCGACGGCGCCCACGCCTCCAAGAAGACCCCCTCCAGGTAGATCCAGACCCCACCAGAACCTGGTTCTGACCCGTCCTGGTTCTGGTTGTCTTCTTTTTTCTGTAATTCAAATGTTTATGTAAACATACTTGGTAACATCTCACAGAGGTAGATCATAGATAGACGCGCCGGTATTACAGAGAGACAGTTTCTAAGGCTTAGATCCTGTCCAATAAATAAAATAGAAAAATGAGGATTATCGACAGCATAGCTTCTATTAACAGTTCTACAGTAGGTGAGTAAAACAAGGCAGAATAATTGTATTTATTGGAGGGATTGCTGAAGAGTCAATGAGTCGATGCAATCAGCTGGTTTTCCTTAGATAGAAAACTTTGAATCAATCTGACTGGATGATCTGGTTGATCTAGATCTATAAAGTGACCTGAGATGACATGATGTGAATTGGAGCTATAGAAATAGACTGAATAGAATTTAATTGAGTATTTTTATTATTTTTTAACAGTGTCCTGTAAAAAGAGCCCAACAGGTGTTACTTTGACAGGTGCATCAGTACGGCTGTCGCCATGGTGATCCGCTGGATTTATGCTTTAATAGATTTATTATAATCATGCAGGGAGATTCACAGATTATATGGACGCTGCAATGTTAGTAGAACAGGAAGGAAAAACAGGAAAAAGGAGCAAAGATGTTTGGGAGAGGGAGCAGCTCAGACCCCAACCTGACAACAAAGTCAGTCTCCATCCCGCCTCCCCACCCCAGTGCCCCCATTCACTCCCCCCAGGCTCTGTACAGATGAGGAAAGGAAAGAAACATGGACGCACATTCACGTCCAATAATCCCAGGACCGCAGACCGCCGGTGGTCGGTCCCCAGATTATAGGATGACCCAATAACTGAACCTAAAATCTGGATGGGGGGGTGACACCGCCACACCAACCCATCCAGTTCCTGCTTCGAGCCCGGCCCCCCACCCTGCACCCAGCAAAAGGTCCACCCCCACCACAAAATGTCTGCTCCACCCCCCTCTGGGAAGAGCAGAAGTGACAGAAGTTAACATGGCTGAACCACGGGGCCTTCCCTGATGACCTGCCAAAAGGTTCCCAGCTCTTCTACACTTTGGGAGCCCTGCCTTAAAAAGCCCACAGAGAGTCAATAATAGCCATGCGGTACTTTATACTGGATAAACATCATATCTGCCATTTTGCTCTAACATTTGACTCCATGTTTCTTTACTAATTTTACAGTTAATGTCTTTGCCAAATTATCCTCAAATGCTCCTATATGCCACTGGTTAAAGATTGTTTTGATGGAGAGTTGATGTGATTTAGAGGGTTTTCTAGATAGTCAAGGATTGGGTTGATTGTATTCTGTGAGTAAAATCTTCTAATTACTAAAGTTCTTATTTGTAAATATTTCCACAATTCACTCAACAGCTGATCCTGTTGAAGAAGGTCGTAGGATGACATAAATGTCTGATCTCTCTTTTCCAGAAAACCTTCTGCTCTCCAATCGCTGCCTCTGGTTCAGCCTCAGTGAAGCATACTTTAGTTCCTAGTGGGACTCTTTGTCCACACTTAATGAGAACAATAAGTGGATTTATACTTTAGTTCCTAGTGGGAATCTTTGTCCAAACTTACTGAGAACAATAAGTGGATTTATACTTTAGTTCCTAGTGGGAATCTTTGTCCAAACTTACTGAGAACAATAAGTGGATTTATACTTTAGTTCCTAGTGGGAATCTTTGTCCAAACTTACTGAGAACAATAAGTGGATTTCTATCTTTTTCTTTACTTTTTTAAACACTGGGATCTGACATGCATTGGCTGAAATGGTGCCTCTGCATTAGCCTGTACTAAATCAGTCATAGGTTATCTCAGCCATTTTAAATGCCAAACCATACAGCCTAAACCCCCCCCCCCCTTTCTCCTTGGGTGCACACAGTCTACACCAGGCATCCCCAAACTCGGTCCTCAAGGGCCGCTGTCCTGCAGGTTGTAGATGTTTCTCTGCTCCAGCACAGCTGATTTTAATTGATAGTTGATTAACAGGCTTTTGCTCTACTGCAATCATCATAATCAGCTGTGCTAAAGCAGGGAAACCTCTAAAACCTGCAGGACAGGATCCCTGGCTGCCGCGGACGGGCTGACGTTAACCTCGGAGCTCTGCTGGTTGCCGTGATCCTCTCAGCTTTGGACATTATTTTTTTTCAATCCTCTCTAAATCAGTAAATGTTCCATATAGTGAAGCATAAAGTATAATATTCTCCCCTCAGATGATCTTAAAATGTACTTTTATTGAACAACATAAGAGAGAACTTAATTATTTAACTTAATCCTCTGAGCTCTGTGAGCGCTAACCTGGAAGCTTCTGCTGCCGCAGTGCATGCTGGGACAGCTGTCAGTCTGAAGAACGGCCAAGCCTGCTCTGATGCATGCTGGGTAAAGAGGGAGGGGCCAGAATAACATCTGGAGACTTTGTCTGTTCTGGGTCTGCTGTTCTTGTGAATTGGAACAGTGCTAGGGCTGAGGATGATGACGTTTCACGAGGACACAAGAACACAGATTAATAAACGGCCTTTGTCTCTGCTGGTAGATTTCATAATGTTCACCATAAGCAGTCTCAGAGGCTGGTCTTCCTTTGGAGGAGAGCGGTGTGCCCTTTGCATTTCCCATCCCAAGTTATGGCCTTCAAAGCCGTCTTTTAAACCCAGGAGTCTAACTTTATGGCGCCGGCTTCTATTTTCCAACTCTTCCACCTGAAGCCACGGGTCATTATTGCTCTGCTGTGGAGAGTCCTCTACTTCAGAAATCTGCCCAGCCTCCTCAGTCGTTCCTCTGCAGCTTTCACAGCATGTTTCAGTTCCTCAGTAGTCCCTTTAATGACTGATGCACCAATCTGCACTTTGTGGAGAGCTGAGCTCTGCTCACCTCAGGAAGGATGCTCTCCAAATGAGCTCAGCTCCATGGGTTTCTGTTCAGGCTTCAGGGTTTAGGACGACTCCAAGCGTCTCTCTGGTGGTGAATCCCTTCTGGTTGTGTTCTGTCTGTCCAGCGTTCAGGCCGAGCGCAAGAGAAGAAAGGCCAAGTGGCTCCTGGAGGACGCCATCCCCACCGTAAGTCTTCTTCTGTGGTTTGTTCGGTTGCTTCAGTCGCACATGGGGCTGGACACTCACCTGTGTGTTCCTGCAGAACCAGGTGACCTGCAGCTGGACCTCCAACCACCACATGGCCAACATCTTTGACTTCACCCTGGATGAGCTGCAGAGCCTGAAGAGGTGAGCTTCCTCCTGCTGACAGAACATCAGACCAGCAGCTGTCCTCTGATGCTCCTCCTCTTGCTCCTCAGCAGCTCCAGCAGAGCCGTCAGCATTGACCAGGACTCCACTGACGCCTCCACCTCGGGTTCTGCCACCACCAGCGGCTCCTACCGCTTCAGGTAACGCCGCCACGTCTCGCCGCGTTCCACGAACGCCTGAGGAACGTGACGCTGACCAGCTGTCTCTCTGCAGGCGGAGAGTGGGCAGCAGGAAGAGGAAGTTGCCTAGCAACAGCTACAGCCAGTGGGCCAATCACAGTGAGGTGGGGGAGGAGTCCTGTGACATGCCAGTGGCTGGAAGGCCCGTCCACCTCAGCTCAGAGCCGTCATGCTTCCTGTCTGACTCCTCCCACATCCCATCTGACTCCTCGCTCCTCCACTCCTCCATCTCCTCGTACTTCGGAGCAGCGGGTCGGCTGACCAACGGCGAGCGGTACCAGGTGCTGGCCCGCCGGGTCACACGTCAGGGGGCGGTCCAGTACCTCCTGGAGTGGGAGGGGTCCACACCTTTCTAGCAGGTTCCAGGTGTGAAAGGGACGGGCCTCCTGCTTTGCCAGTATTAGAGTTCAGACTGGACCAAAGAGTCTGTAGCTCACAGCTGTTCCCTCTGCTGTTCCCTCCCTCTGCTGTTCCCTCCCCCTGCTGTTCCCTCCCCCTGCTGTTCCCTCCCTCTGCTGTTCCCTCCCTCTGCTGTTCCCTCCCTCTGCTGTTCCCTCCCTCTGCTGTTCCCTCCCTCTGCTGTTCCCTCCCTCTGCTGTTCCCTCCCCCTGCTGTTCCCTCCCTCTGCTGTTCCCTCCCTCTGCTGTTCCCTCCCTCTGCTGTTCCCTCCCCCTGCTGTTCCCTCCCCCTGCTGTTCCCTCCCCCTGCTGTTCCCTCCCCCTGCTGTTCCCTCCCTCTGCTGTTCCCTCCCTCTGCTGTTCCCTCCCTCTGCTGTTCCCTCCCTCTGCTGTTCCCTCCCCCTGCTGTTCCCTCCCCCTGCTGTTCCCTCCCCCTGCTGTTCCCCCTGCTGTTCCCTCCCCCTGCTGTTCCCTCCCTCTGCTGTTCCCTCCCCCAGCTGTTCCCTCCCCCTGCTGTTCCCTCCCTCTGCTGTTCCCTCCCTCTGCTGTTCCCTCCCTCTGCTGTTCCCTCCCTCTGCTGTTCCCTCCCTCTGCTGTTCCCTCCCTCTGCTGTTCCCTCCCTCTGCTGTTCCCTCCCCCTGCTGTTCCCTCCCCCTGCTGTTCCCTCCCTCTGCTGTTCCCTCCCTCTGCTGTTCCCTCCCCCTGCTGTTCCCTCCCCCTGCTGTTCCCTCCCCCTGCTGTTCCCTCCCTCTGCTGTTCCCTCCCCCTGCTGTTCCCTCCCCCTGCGGTTCCCTCCCCCTGCTGTTCCCTCCCCCTGCTGTTCCCTCCCCCTGCTGTTCCCCCTGCTGTTCCCTCCCCCTGCTGTTCCCTCCCTCTGCTGTTCCCTCCCCCTGCTGTTCCCTCCCCCTGCTGTTCCCTCCCTCTGCTGTTCCCTCCCTCTGCTGTTCCCTCCCTCTGCTGTTCCCTCCCTCTGCTGTTCCCTCCCTCTGCTGTTCCCTCCCTCTGCTGTTCCCTCCCTCTGCTGTTCCCTCCCTCTGCTGTTCCCTCCCCCTGCTGTTCCCTCCCCCTGCTGTTCCCTCCCCCTGCTGTTCCCTCCCCCTGCTGTTCCCTCCCCCTGCTGTTCCCTCCCTCTGCTGTTCCCTCCCTCTGCTGTTCCCTCCCCCTGCTGTTCCCTCCCTCTGCTGTTCGCTCCCCCTGCTGTTCCCTCCCCCTGCTGTTCCCTCCCCCTGCTGTTCCCTCCCTCTGCTGTTCCCTCCCTCTGCTGTTCCCTCCCTCTGCTGTTCCCTCCCTCTGCTGTTCCCTCCCTGTGCTGTTCCCTCCCCCTGCTGTTCCCTCCCTCTGCTGTTCCCTCCCTCTGCTGTTCCCTCCCTCTGCTGTTCCCTCCCTCTGCTGTTCCCTCCCTCTGCTGTTCCCTCCCCCTGCTGTTCCCTCCCTCTGCTGTTCCCTCCCTCTGCTGTTCCCTCCCTCTGCTGTTCCCTCCCTCTGCTGTTCCCTCCCCCTGCTGTTCCCTCCCCCTGCTGTTCCCTCCCCCTGCTGTTCCCTCCCTCTGCTGTTCCCTCCCTCTGCTGTTCCCTCCCCCTGCTGTTCCCTCCCCCTGCTGTTCCCTCCCCCTGCTGTTCCCTCCCTCTGCTGTTCCCTCCCCCTGCTGTTCCCTCCCCCTGCTGTTCCCTCCCTCTGCTGTTCCCTCCCTCTGCTGTTCCCTCCCTCTGCTGTTCCCTCCCCCTGCTGTTCCCTCCCCCTGCTGTTCCCTCCCCCTGCTGTTCCCTCCCCCTGCTGTTCCCTCCCTCTGCTGTTCCCTCCCCCTGCTGTTCCCTCCCCCTGCTGTTCCCTCCCTCTGCTGTTCCCTCCCCCTGCTGTTCCCTCCCTCTGCTGTTCCCTCTGCTGTTCCCTCCCTCTGCTGTTCCCCCTGCTGTTCCCTCCCTCTGCTGTTCCCTCCCCCTGCTGTTCCCTCACCCTTCTGTTCCCCCTGCTGTTCCCTCCCCCTGCTGTTCCCTCCCTCTGCTGTTCCCTCCCCCTGCTGTTCCCTCCCCCTGCTGTTCCCTCCCCCTGCTGTTCCCTCCCTCTGCTGTTCCCTCCCCCTGCTGTTCCCTCCCTCTGCTGTTCCCTCCCCCTGCTGTTCCCTCCCCCTGCTGTTCCCTCCCCCTGCTGTTCCCTCCCTCTGCTGTTCCCTCCCTCTGCTGTTCCCTCCCCCTGCTGTTCCCCCTGCTGTTCCCTCCCTCTGCTGTTCAGTTCTATTCAGTTTATTTCTATAGCTCCAATTCCCATCATGTCATCTCAGGTCACTTTATAGATCCAGATCAACCAGATCATCCAGTCAGATTGATTCAAAGTTTTCTATCTAAGGAAAACCAGCTGATTGCATCGACTCATTGACTCTTCAGCAATCCCTCACACTAAGCATGCTTGTAGCGACAGTGGAGAGGAAAAACTCCCTTTGAACAGGAAGAAACCTCCAGCAGAACCAGGCTCAGTGTGAGCGGCCATCTGCTGAGGCCCACTGGGGTTCAAGGAGACAGAAGCAGACATAGAAAAAGAAGCATAGATACAAAAGGCAACTGTCAACCAGCTCCACAGGCGGCCCCGTCCAGGAAACACACAGCCAGGCAGACGAGCTCCGAGCCAGCTCCCATGTCAGAGGATGAAGAGAGCACATCCAGTTAGTCACAGTCAGAGAAACAGGACTACACTGGAAAACAGGCCAAGCTCCAACATCTAGAAACAAAGGTGTTGATGGCAGCAGCACAGCTGATATTTCTCTCCAGGATGGAGTCACAGCCAAACAGGAACAGACCAGATGAAGCTACTATGAGAAAAAGCAGAGAGAGCAGAACGTTAGAGATTGAACTAACAGATTCTGCAGAGTGGGAGAATAGAGATAGAATGAAGCAGAATGATGAAAAAGGGGTCCCTATGTCCTCCAGCAGTCTAAGCCTATAGCAGCAGAACTATAGAGATAGCTCAGGATAACCTGAGCCACTCTAACTAGAAGCTTTATCAAAAAGGAAAGACTCTGGTCCAAAGACTATAACTTCTGTTTTGTCTGCATTCAGAAGCAGAAAGTTAAGAGTCATCCAGGTTTTTCTGTCTTCAGACATGCCTGTAATCTATGTAATGGGTTAGCTTCATCTGGATTTATAGACAGATATAGCTGGGTATCATCAGCATAACAGTGGAAATTAATCCCATGCTGTCTAATAATTCTACCAATTGGGAGCATGTATAAAGTAAAGAGAATTGGTCCTAGCACTGATCCCTGTGGTACTCCACAGGTAACCTTTGAGCGTGTTGAAGATCTATCATTAACATGAACAAACTGAATTCGATCAGATAGATCAGATTTAAACCAGTCTAGTGCTGTTCCTTTAATTCCAACAAAATATTCAAGTCTTTCTAAAAGAATATTATGGTCAACTGTATCAAATGCAGCACTAAGATCCAACAGGACGAGCACAGATACAAGTCCATTATCTGAGGCCATGAGAATATCATTAGTGACTTTCACCAGAGCTGTTTCAGTGCTATGATGAGCTCTAAAGCCAGACTGAAACTCTTCAAAAAGTTCATTATGGTGGAAGTGATCGCAAACTTGTTTGGCAACTACTTTCTCAAGAATTTTGGACAAGAAAGGAAGATTGGATATAGGTCTATAATTGACCAAGTCATCTGGGTCAAGAGACGGTTTCTTAAGCAGAGGTTTAATTCCAGCAACCTTAAAAGCTTTAGGTACATATCCCTGTAACAGAGATAGATTAATCACATCTAAAATGGAGGAGGAGATCAAACTGGTTGGAACTGGATCTAACATACAAGTTGAAGGCTTAGATGAAGACAATAGTTTAGCTAATTCAGAAAGTTCAACTGGATCAAAGCAGTCTAAACCCGGTTCAGATTCCATGACTACCTCAGATGCTGCCCCCCCCCTCCAGAGACAAACCAATCATGGATAGAGGAGTGCTAATGACCTGATTAAGAATAAGATCAATCTGCTGTTTCCTCGCTCCAAGTCACATGGTTAACGGTTGTCATGCTCCGCCCCTTTGCTGTTACCTTATTGGTCCGAGTCTCTGCCATATTGCACTGTGGTCCAATCAGAATCTATGCAAAGATCCAGCTGATGGATCCATGGTCTCAGTTAGCTCAAAGCTAACACTGCCCATTGATTTGAATGAGGAGTGCTAACAATATCTGAGACGTTAAATTGTCACTCTGTCACTTTAAATGTTGCCATGGTAACCATGCTCCCTTCCCATTGGCCGGTTGGACAGTTGTTTTGATTATATGACTGTTTGACCAAGTCTAATAAATTTGCCTGAACTTTGACCTGCTGTGTCTGTGTGTGTTTCTCTAAAAGGAGTTCTGGTTCTGTTTCTGGTTCAGTTCTGGTTCAGTTCTGAGTGTGAGGCAGTGAGAGTGAAGGTGATTATCTCATAATCCAGTTAAGGTTTTAAAGATCACGTGAAGAAGAGGAGCCTGCTTTCATCCTTCCATGGTTCCACCTCAGAGACACAACAGGTCTGAGGGACTGTCCACAAGAGGACAGGGCCCCGCAGGAGGACGGCTAATCTCTCAGCAGACGTGGTCAACCATCTTCCTCACTGGAAGGAAAAAACTGAGCTTCTACCTGCTGGTGAGGTTAGCTCTGAACAACTGAGTCTGTCCATCTGTCCCTCTATCAGTCTGTCCCTCTGTCTGTCCCTCTATCAGTCTGTCCCTCTGTCTGTCTGTTTTAGAAGGCAGGTTTATTTCTGTGATGAATTAAACATTAAAATAGAGAAAAATAACAGAATCCAAACCTGATAAAGCAGGAAGTGAAATCAAACAGTTGGACCAATAATAGATTAACTCCATCAGTTAGATGCAGATCTAGACTGACAGGTTTAGAACTTTCAGCTCTTTTCCAGTATGTTCCAGATCATTAGAGCCTAGATGCTGCTTCTCCATGTTGGTCCAGATCATTGGAGCCTAGATGCTGCTTCTCCATGTTGGTCCAGATCATTGGAGCCTAGATGCTGCTTCTCCATGTTGGTCCAGATCATTGGAGCCTAGATGCTGCTTCTCCATGTTGGTCCAGATCATTGGAGCCTAGATGCTGCTTCTCCATGTTGGTCCAGATCATTGGAGCCTAGATGCTGCTTCTCCGTGTTGGTCCAGATCATTGGAGCCTAGATGCTGCTTCTCCATGTTGGTCCAGATCATTAGAGCCTAGATGCTGCTTCTCCATGTTGGTCCAGATCATTGGAGCCTAGATGCTGCTTCTCCATGTTGGTCCAGATCATTGGAGCCTAGATGCTGCTTCTCCATGTTGGTCCAGATCATTGGAGCCTAGATGCTGCTTCTCCATGTTGGTCCAGATCATTGGAGCCTAGATGCTGCTTCTCCATGTTGGTCCAGATCATTGCAGCCTAGATGCTGCTTCTCCATGTTGGTCCAGATCATTAGAGCCTAGATGCTGCTTCTCCATGTTGGTCCAGATCATTAGAGCCTAGATGCTGCTTCTCCATGTTGGTCCAGATCATTGGAGCCTAGATGCTGCTTCTCCATGTTGGTCCAGATCATTGGAGCCTAGATGCTGCTTCTCCATGTTGGTCCAGATCATTGGAGCCTAGATGCTGCTTCTCCATGTTGGTCCAGATCATTGGAGCCTAGATGCTGCTTCTCCATGTTGGTCCAGATCATTGGAGCCTAGATGCTGCTTCTCCATGTTGGTCCAGATCATTGGAGCCTAGATGCTGCTTCTCCATGTTGGTCCAGATCATTGGAGCCTAGATGCTGCTTCTCCGTGTTGGTCCAGATCATTGGAGCCTAGATGCTGCTTCTCCATGTTGGTCCAGATCATTAGAGCCTAGATGCTGCTTCTCCATGTTGGTCCAGATCATTGGAGCCTAGATGCTGCTTCTCCATGTTGGTCCAGATCATTGGAGCCTAGATGCTGCTTCTCCATGTTGGTCCAGATCATTGGAGCCTAGATGCTGCTTCTCCATGTTGGTCCAGATCATTGGAGCCTAGATGCTGCTTCTCCATGTTGGTCCAGATCATTGCAGCCTAGATGCTGCTTCTCCATGTTGGTCCAGATCATTAGAGCCTAGATGCTGCTTCTCCATGTTGGTCCAGATCATTAGAGCCTAGATGCTGCTTCTCCATGTTGGTCCAGATCATTGGAGCCTAGATGCTGCTTCTCCATGTTGGTCCAGATCATTGCAGCCTAGATGCTGCTTCTCCATGTTGGTCCAGATCATTGGAGCCTAGATGCTGCTTCTCCATGTTGGTCCAGATCATTGGAGCCTAGATGCTGCTTCTCCATGTTGGTCCAGATCATTGGAGCCTAGATGCTGCTTCTCCATGTTGGTCCAGATCATTGGAGCCTAGATGCTGCTTCTCCATGTTGGTCCAGATCATTGGAGCCTAGATGCTGCTTCTCCATGTTGGTCCAGATCATTGGAGCCTAGATGCTGCTTCTCCATGTTGGTCCAGATCATTGCAGCCTAGATGCTGCTTCTCCATGTTGGTCCAGATCATTGGAGCCTAGATGCTGCTTCTCCATGTTGGTCCAGATCATTAGAGCCTAGATGCTGCTTCTCATGTTGGTCCAGATCATTGGAGCCTAGATGCTGCTTCTCCATGTTGGTCCAGATCATTGGAGCCTAGATGCTGCTTCTCCATGTTGGTCCAGATCATTGGAGCCTAGATGCTGCTTCTCCATGTTGGTCCAGATCATTGGAGCCTAGATGCTGCTTCTCCATGTTGGTCCAGATCATTGGAGCCTAGATGCTGCTTCTCCATGTTGGTCCAGATCATTGAAGCCTAGATGCTGCTTCTCCATGTTGGTCCAGATCATTGGAGCCTAGATGCTGCTTCTCCGTGTTGGTCCAGATCATTGGAGCCTAGATGCTGCTTCTCCATGTTGGTCCAGATCATTAGAGCCTAGATGCTGCTTCTCCATGTTGGTCCAGATCATTGGAGCCTAGATGCTGCTTCTCCATGTTGGTCCAGATCATTGAAGCCTAGATGCTGCTTCTCCATGTTGGTCCAGATCATTGGAGCCTAGATGCTGCTTCTCCATGTTGGTCCAGATCATTGGAGCCTAGATGCTGCTTCTCCATGTTGGTCCAGATCATTGAAGCCTAGATGCTGCTTCTCCATGTTGGTCCAGATCATTGGAGCCTAGATGCTGCTTCTCCATGTTGGTCCAGATCATTGGAGCCTAGATGCTGCTTCTCCATGTTGGTCCAGATCATTGGAGCCTAGATGCTGCTTCTCCATGTTGGTCCAGATCATTGGAGCCTAGATGCTGCTTCTCCATGTTGGTCCAGATCATTGGAGCCTAGATGCTGCTTCTCCATGTTGGTCCAGATCATTAGAGCCTAGATGCTGCTTCTCCATGTTGGTCCAGATCATTGGAGCCTAGATGCTGCTTCTCCATGTTGGTCCAGATCATTGAAGCCTAGATGCTGCTTCTCCATGTTGGTCCAGATCATTGGAGCCTAGATGCTGCTTCTCCATGTTGGTCCAGATCATTAGAGCCTAGATGCTGCTTCTCCATGTTGGTCCAGATCATTGGAGCCTAGATGCTGCTTCTCCATGTTGGTCCAGATCATTGGAGCCTAGATGCTGCTTCTCCATGTTGGTCCAGATCATTGGAGCCTAGATGCTGCTTCTCCATGTTGGTCCAGATCATTGGAGCCTAGATGCTGCTTCTCCATGTTGGTCCAGATCATTGGAGCCTAGATGCTGCTTCTCCATGTTGGTCCAGATCATTGAAGCCTAGATGCTGCTTCTCCATGTTGGTCCAGATCATTGGAGCCTAGATGCTGCTTCTCCATGTTGGTCCAGATCATTGGAGCCTAGATGCTGCTTCTCCATGTTGGTCCAGATCATTGAAGCCTAGATGCTGCTTCTCCATGTTGGTCCAGATCATTGGAGCCTAGATGCTGCTTCTCCATGTTGGTCCAGATCATTGAAGCCTAGATGCTGCTTCTCCATGTTGGTCCAGATCATTGAAGCCTAGATGCTGCTTCTCCATGTTGGTCCAGATCATTGGAGCCTAGATGCTGCTTCTCCATGTTGGTCCAGATCATTAGAGCCTAGATGCTGCTTCTCATGTTGGTCCAGATCATTGGAGCCTAGATGCTGCTTCTCCATGTTGGTCCAGATCATTGGAGCCTAGATGCTGCTTCTCCATGTTGGTCCAGATCATTGAAGCCTAGATGCTGCTTCTCCATGTTGGTCCAGATCATTGAAGCCTAGATGCTGCTTCTCCATGTTGGTCCAGATCATTGGAGCCTAGATGCTGCTTCTCCATGTTGGTCCAGATCATTAGAGCCTAGATGCTGCTTCTCATGTTGGTCCAGATCATTGGAGCCTAGATGCTGCTTCTCCATGTTGGTCCAGATCATTGGAGCCTAGATGCTGCTTCTCCATGTTGGTCCAGATCATTAGAGCCTAGATGCTGCTTCTCATGTTGGTCCAGATCATTGGAGCCTAGATGCTGCTTCTCCATGTTGGTCCAGATCATTGGAGCCTAGATGCTGCTTCTCCATGTTGGTCCAGATCATTGAAGCCTAGATGCTGCTTCTCCATGTTGGTCCAGATCATTGGAGCCTAGATGCTGCTTCTCCATGTTGGTCCAGATCATTGGAGCCTAGATGCTGCTTCTCCATGTTGGTCCAGATCATTGGAGCCTAGATGCTGCTTCTCCATGTTGGTCCAGATCATTGGAGCCTAGATGCTGCTTCTCAATGTTGGTCCAGATCATTGGAGCCTAGATGCTGCTTCTCCATGTTGGTCCAGATCATTGGAGCCTAGATGCTGCTTCTCCATGTTGGTCCAGATCATTGAAGCCTAGATGCTGCTTCTCCATGTTGGTCCAGATCATTGAAGCCTAGATGCTGCTTCTCAATGTTGGTCCAGATCATTGGAGCCTAGATGCTGCTTCTCCATGTTGGTCCAGATCATTGGAGCCTAGATGCTGCTTCTCCATGTTGGTCCAGATCATTGGAGCCTTAGATGCTGCTTCTCCATGTTGGTCCAGATCATTGGAGCCTAGATGCTGCTTCTCCATGTTGGTCCAGATCATTGGAGCCTAGATGCTGCTTCTCCATGTTGGTCCAGATCATTGAAGCCTAGATGCTGCTTCTCAATGTTGGTCCAGATCATTGGAGCCTAGATGCTGCTTCTCCATGTTGGTCCAGATCATTGAAGCCTAGATGCTGCTTCTCCATGTTGGTCCAGATCATTGGAGCCTAGATGCTGCTTCTCCGTGTTGGTCCAGATCATTGGAGCCTAGATGCTGCTTCTCCATGTTGGTCCAGATCATTGGAGCCTAGATGCTGCTTCTCCATGTTGGTCCAGATCATTGGAGCCTAGATGCTGCTTCTCAATGTTGGTCCAGATCATTGGAGCCTAGATGCTGCTTCTCCATGTTGGTCCAGATCATTAGAGCCTAGATGCTGCTTCTCCATGTTGGTCCAGATCATTGGAGCCTAGATGCTGCTTCTCCATGTTGGTCCAGATCATTGGAGCCTAGATGCTGCTTCTCCATGTTGGTCCAGATCATTGGAGCCTAGATGCTGCTTCTCCATGTTGGTCCAGATCATTGGAGCCTAGATGCTGCTTCTCCATGTTGGTCCAGATCATTGGAGCCTAGATGCTGCTTCTCCATGTTGGTCCAGATCATTGCAGCCTAGATGCTGCTTCTCCATGTTGGTCCAGATCATTAGAGCCTAGATGCTGCTTCTCCATGTTGGTCCAGATCATTAGAGCCTAGATGCTGCTTCTCCATGTTGGTCCAGATCATTAGAGCCTAGATGCTGCTTCTCATGTTGGTCCAGATCATTGGAGCCTAGATGCTGCTTCTCCATGTTGGTCCAGATCATTGGAGCCTAGATGCTGCTTCTCATGTTGGTCCAGATCATTGGAGCCTAGATGCTGCTTCTCCATGTTGGTCCAGATCATTAGAGCCTAGATGCTGCTTCTCATGTTGGTCCAGATCATTGGAGCCTAGATGCTGCTTCTCCATGTTGGTCCAGATCATTGGAGCCTAGATGCTGCTTCTCCATGTTGGTCCAGATCATTGGAGCCTAGATGCTGCTTCTCATGTTGGTCCAGATCATTGGAGCCTAGATGCTGCTTCTCCATGTTGGTCCAGATCATTGGAGCCTAGATGCTGCTTCTCATGTTGGTCCAGATCATTGGAGCCTAGATGCTGCTTCTCCATGTTGGTCCAGATCATTGGAGCCTAGATGCTGCTTCTCCATGTTGGTCCAGATCATTGGAGCCTAGATGCTGCTTCTCCATGTTGGTCCAGATCATTGAAGCCTAGATGCTGCTTCTCCATGTTGGTCCAGATCATTGGAGCCTAGATGCTGCTTCTCCGTGTTGGTCCAGATCATTGGAGCCTAGATGCTGCTTCTCCATGTTGGTCCAGATCATTAGAGCCTAGATGCTGCTTCTCCATGTTGGTCCAGATCATTGGAGCCTAGATGCTGCTTCTCCATGTTGGTCCAGATCATTGAAGCCTAGATGCTGCTTCTCCATGTTGGTCCAGATCATTGGAGCCTAGATGCTGCTTCTCCATGTTGGTCCAGATCATTAGAGCCTAGATGCTGCTTCTCCATGTTGGTCCAGATCATTGGAGCCTAGATGCTGCTTCTCCATGTTGGTCCAGATCATTGGAGCCTAGATGCTGCTTCTCCATGTTGGTCCAGATCATTGGAGCCTAGATGCTGCTTCTCCATGTTGGTCCAGATCATTGGAGCCTAGATGCTGCTTCTCCATGTTGGTCCAGATCATTGGAGCCTAGATGCTGCTTCTCCATGTTGGTCCAGATCATTGAAGCCTAGATGCTGCTTCTCCATGTTGGTCCAGATCATTGGAGCCTAGATGCTGCTTCTCCATGTTGGTCCAGATCATTGGAGCCTAGATGCTGCTTCTCCATGTTGGTCCAGATCATTGGAGCCTAGATGCTGCTTCTCCATGTTGGTCCAGATCATTGGAGCCTAGATGCTGCTTCTCCATGTTGGTCCAGATCATTGAAGCCTAGATGCTGCTTCTCCATGTTGGTCCAGATCATTGGAGCCTAGATGCTGCTTCTCCATGTTGGTCCAGATCATTGGAGCCTAGATGCTGCTTCTCCATGTTGGTCCAGATCATTAGAGCCTAGATGCTGCTTCTCATGTTGGTCCAGATCATTGGAGCCTAGATGCTGCTTCTCCATGTTGGTCCAGATCATTGGAGCCTAGATGCTGCTTCTCCATGTTGGTCCAGATCATTGAAGCCTAGATGCTGCTTCTCCATGTTGGTCCAGATCATTGGAGCCTAGATGCTGCTTCTCCATGTTGGTCCAGATCATTGGAGCCTAGATGCTGCTTCTCCATGTTGGTCCAGATCATTGAGCCTAGATGCTGCTTCTCATGTTGGTCCAGATCATTGGAGCCTAGATGCTGCTTCTCCATGTTGGTCCAGATCATTGGAGCCTAGATGCTGCTTCTCCATGTTGGTCCAGATCATTGGAGCCTAGATGCTGCTTCTCCATGTTGGTCCAGATCATTGGAGCCTAGATGCTGCTTCTCCATGTTGGTCCAGATCATTAGAGCCTAGATGCTGCTTCTCCATGTTGGTCCAGATCATTGGAGCCTAGATGCTGCTTCTCCATGTTGGTCCAGATCATTGAAGCCTAGATGCTGCTTCTCCATGTTGGTCCAGATCATTGGAGCCTAGATGCTGCTTCTCCATGTTGGTCCAGATCATTGGAGCCTAGATGCTGCTTCTCCATGTTGGTCCAGATCATTGGAGCCTAGATGCTGCTTCTCCATGTTGGTCCAGATCATTGGAGCCTAGATGCTGCTTCTCAATGTTGGTCCAGATCATTGGAGCCTAGATGCTGCTTCTCCATGTTGGTCCAGATCATTGGAGCCTAGATGCTGCTTCTCCATGTTGGTCCAGATCATTGAAGCCTAGATGCTGCTTCTCCATGTTGGTCCAGATCATTGAAGCCTAGATGCTGCTTCTCCATGTTGGTCCAGATCATTGGAGCCTAGATGCTGCTTCTCCATGTTGGTCCAGATCATTGGAGCCTAGATGCTGCTTCTCCATGTTGGTCCAGATCATTGGAGCCTAGATGCTGCTTCTCCATGTTGGTCCAGATCATTGAAGCCTAGATGCTGCTTCTCAATGTTGGTCCAGATCATTGGAGCCTAGATGCTGCTTCTCCATGTTGGTCCAGATCATTGAAGCCTAGATGCTGCTTCTCCATGTTGGTCCAGATCATTGGAGCCTAGATGCTGCTTCTCCATGTTGGTCCAGATCATTGAAGCCTAGATGCTGCTTCTCCATGTTGGTCCAGATCATTGGAGCCTAGATGCTGCTTCTCAATGTTGGTCCAGATCATTGGAGCCTAGATGCTGCTTCTCCATGTTGGTCCAGATCATTGGAGCCTAGATGCTGCTTCTCCATGTTGGTCCAGATCATTGAAGCCTAGATGCTGCTTCTCCATGTTGGTCCAGATCATTGAAGCCTAGATGCTGCTTCTCAATGTTGGTCCAGATCATTGGAGCCTAGATGCTGCTTCTCCATGTTGGTCCAGATCATTGGAGCCTAGATGCTGCTTCTCCATGTTGGTCCAGATCATTGGAGCCTAGATGCTGCTTCTCATGTTGGTCCAGATCATTGGAGCCTAGATGCTGCTTCTCCATGTTGGTCCAGATCATTGAAGCCTAGATGCTGCTTCTCCATGTTGGTCCAGATCATTGGAGCCTAGATGCTGCTTCTCCATGTTGGTCCAGATCATTGAAGCCTAGATGCTGCTTCTCCATGTTGGTCCAGATCATTGGAGCCTAGATGCTGCTTCTCCATGTTGGTCCAGATCATTGGAGCCTAGATGCTGCTTCTCCATGTTGGTCCAGATCATTGGAGCCTAGATGCTGCTTCTCAATGTTGGTCCAGATCATTGGAGCCTAGATGCTGCTTCTCCATGTTGGTCCAGATCATTGGAGCCTAGATGCTGCTTCTCATGTTGGTCCAGATCATTGGAGCCTAGATGCTGCTTCTCCATGTTGGTCCAGATCATTGGAGCCTAGATGCTGCTTCTCCATGTTGGTCCAGATCATTGGAGCCTAGATGCTGCTTCTCCATGTTGGTCCAGATCATTGGAGCCTAGATGCTGCTTCTCCATGTTGGTCCAGATCATTGGAGCCTAGATGCTGCTTCTCCATGTTGGTCCAGATCATTGGAGCCTAGATGCTGCTTCTCCATGTTGGTCCAGATCATTGGAGCCTAGATGCTGCTTCTCCATGTTGGTCCAGATCATTGGAGCCTAGATGCTGCTTCTCCATGTTGGTCCAGATCATTGGAGCCTAGATGCTGCTTCTCCATGTTGGTCCAGATCATTGGAGCCTAGATGCTGCTTCTCCGTGTTGGTCCAGATCATTGGAGCCTAGATGCTGCTTCTCCATGTTGGTCCAGATCATTGGAGCCTAGATGCTGCTTCTCCATGTTGGTCCAGATCATTGGAGCCTAGATGCTGCTTCTCCATGTTGGTCCAGATCATTGGAGCCTAGATGCTGCTTCTCCATGTTGGTCCAGATCATTGGAGCCTAGATGCTGCTTCTCCATGTTGGTCCAGATCATTAGAGCCTAGATGCTGCTTCTCCATGTTCTGCTCTTTAACCTCCTTCCTCTCTGCTGTTCTAGCTCCGCCCACCTGTGGATGCCCATGGAGCAGCTGGTCAAACACTTGTCCAGGTGTCGGCATCTGGGCTGGATGGAGGTGATTGGTGAGTTCACTTCCTGTTTGCTCTGCTGCACGCCGGCGTCACACTGGACCCCCGCTGAGAGAACCGAGAGAACTGATGGAGCGTTCCTAAGGTGGAACATCAGCTGATGGAGCGTTCCACCTCTGATGGAGCGTTCCTAAGGTGGAACATCAGCTGATGGAGCGTTCCTAAGGTGGAACATCAGCTGATGGAGCGTTCCACCTCTGATGGAGCGTTCCTAAGGTGGAACATCAGCTGATGGAGCGTTGCTAAGGTGGAACATCAGCTGATGGAGCGTTCCACCTCTGATGGAGCGTTCCTAAGGTGGAACATCAGCTGATGGAGCGTTCCATCTCTGATGTAGCGTTCCTAAGGTGGAACATCAGCTGATGGAGCGTTCCATCTCTGATGGAGCGTTCCTAAGATGGAACATCAGCTGATGGAGCGTTCCACCTCTGATGGAGCGTTCCTAAGGTGGAACATCAGCTGATGGAGCGTTCCTAAGGTGGAACATCAGCTGATGGAGCGTTCCACCTCTGATGGAGCGTTCCTAAGGTGGAACATCAGCTGATGGAGCGTTCCTAAGGTGGAACATCAGCTGATGGAGCGTTCCACCTCTGATGGAGCGTTCCTAAGGTGGAACATCAGCTGATGGAGCGTTGCTAAGGTGGAACATCAGCTGATGGAGCGTTCCACCTCTGATGGAGCATTCCTAAGGTGGAACATCAGCTGATGGGGCGTTCCTAAGGTGAAACATCAGCTGATGGAGCGTTCCTAAGGTGGAACATCAGCTGATGGAGCGTTCCTAAGGTGGAACATCAGCTGATGGTGCGTTCCATCTCCATGGGCTGATGTTCCACCTTAGGAACGCTCCATCGGAGGTCCTCGAAGGTTCCTCGGTGGAACGGAGCATATGGTTAGAGCGGGTTCCTCAGGCAGGGTTCTAGAGATGTTTTTCTAACGTCAGTTTTTCCTCCCTGGAGAATCTGTTCATGTTCTCACCTGAGTTCTGAGGATGACGATGTTATGATGATGTCACAGAGCTGAAGAGCGCCTCCATCCATTGGCTGTCCTGTGGGCAGAAGGCGGAGCCTGATGTTTGGACCAGGATGTTCTGCATCCTGTCAGACTCTCAGCTTCTGATGCTGGATGACTTGGAGGTCAGCAAACACTAATCTTTAACCAGTTTAAACCGGTGTTAACCAGTCTAAACAGATAAACAGTCTTAGTTAGCCTTAACAAGTTAAACTGACCATAACCTGTCTAAACCAGTTTTAGCCAGTTCCTCTTTGGGTTTTTCTTTTGGTGTTTTGCCAGTATGGCTCTGGGAAGGGGAGTGGTCTCCTAGTGGTCAGGGCATAGAGCTGGGAATCCTGAGGGACTAGTCCAAGTCCCACTCCCACAGAATGCCACTCTCGGTCCCTGAGCAAGACCCTTATCCTCACACTGCTCCCTGGGCGCCCACTGCTCCCCAAGGGGAGGGGTTAAATAATAATCAATTATTATTAATTGGTGTCCCAGCCGTTCCCACATTCATCTGGTCATCTGATAGCCATGGCTGCCAGGAAACCCAGACAGTCCATGGGTTGCAAGAACATTAGAGATTGAACTAACAGATTCTGCAGAGTGGGAGAATAGAGATAGAATGATGAAAAAGGGGTCCCTATGTCCTCCAGCAGTCTAAGCCTATAGCAGCAGAACTATAGAGATAGAATGAAGCAGAATATCAGCAGCAAATTACTGATCATTAACAGTCTGCTTCTCTTTCTTCAGGTTCATCCTCTGCTGCTCACAGAGAGGGCGGAGACCTGCACCATCTGGTTGCTAAGATACACTCTACATGTGACCCCAGCAGCTCCTGGCTCCGCCCAGAAAGGTAAGGAAGACCAGCACAAGCAGACGAAGAAAGTCAGTAGCTGATGGACATGCGATAAGACTGATGGAGGGACAGATGATAGATGGACAGGTGTTGGACAGTCGGATGCTGGAGACCCGCTCTAATGACGGTAAGGCAGTTCTGGTTCTGTCTGCAGAATGATCAGGGATCAGATCTGCGCCTTAAGCTTGTCAACATGTCCCACAAATTAATCTGGTAATCTGGGCTGAGGCTGGTTACCGTGGCAACATGGAGGATGGATGATGAAGAAGGAGGATCTGTCAGGAAGGTGAGGGTCCCAGCAGGTCAGAAACCGAGCGGGACATCAAACCCATTCTGCCCGGACAGACGGCCTGACTGGGTCTAGGTCCCTGGGCTGCCGGGGCCGGGACCAAGAACCCTGGATTAGTTTAGGAGGCAGGGAGGGTTCTATGGACCGGTACCCAACCCAAGGTTACCGGCTAGCTAATGATAACAGCTGCTAATGCAAGATACCAGGTGGAACTACTGCCACGCCCCCAGCCAATCAGGGCTTTCACCTGATCCTCCTCTCCTGATCCTCCCCTCCTGATCCTCCTCTCCTGATCCTCCTCTCCTGATCCTCCTCACCTGATCCTCCTCTCCTGATCCTCCTCACCTGATCCTCCTCACCTGATCCTCCTCTCCTGATCCTCCTCTCCTGCTCCTCCTCACCTGATCCTCCTCTCCTGATCCTCCTCACCTGATCCTCCTCACCTGATCCTCCTCTCCTGATCCTCCTCACCTGATCCTCCTCTCCTGATCCTCCTCTCCTGCTCCTCCTCACCTGATCCTCCTCTCCTGATCCTCCTCACCTGATCCTCCTCTCCTGATCCTCCTCTCCTGATCCTCCTCACCTGATCCTCCTCACCTGATCCTCCTCTCCTGATCCTCCTCTCCTGCTCCTCCTCTCCTGATCCTCCTCTCCTGATCCTCCTCTCCTGCTCCTCCTCTCCTGATCCTCCTCACCTGATCCTCCTCTCCTGATCCTCCTCTCCTGATCCTCCTCTCCTGCTCCTCCTCTCCTGATCCTCCTCACCTGATCCTCCTCTCCTGATCCTCCTCACCTGATCCTCCTCTCCTGATCCTCCTCTCCTGATCCTCCTCACCTGATCCTCCTCTCCTGATCCTCCTCTCCTGCTCCTCCTCACCTGATCCTCCTCACCTGATCCTCCTCACCTGATCCTCCTCTCCTGATCCTCCTCACCTGATCCTCCTCACCTGATCCTCCTCTCCTGATCCTCCTCTCCTGCTCCTCCTCACCTGATCCTCCTCTCCTGATCCTCCTCACCTGATCCTCCTCTCCTGATCCTCCTCTCCTGATCCTCCTCACCTGATCCTCCTCTCCTGATCCTCCTCTCCTGATCCTCCTCACCTGATCCTCCTCACCTGATCCTCCTCTCCTGATCCTCCTCTCCTGATCCTCCTCACCTGATCCTCCTCACCTGATCCTCCTCTCCTGCTCCTCCTCTCCTGATCCTCCTCTCCTGATCCTCCTCTCCTGATCCTCCTCTCCTGATCCTCCTCACCTGATCCTCCTCACCTGATCCTCCTCTCCTGATCCTCCTCACCTGATCCTCCTCACCTGATCCTCCTCTCCTGCTCCTCCTCTCCTGATCCTCCTCTCCTGATCCTCCTCACCTGATCCTCCTCTCCTGATCCTCCTCTCCTGCTCCTCCTCTCCTGATCCTCCTCTCCTGCTCCTCCTCACCTGATCCTCCTCACCTGATCCTCCTCTCCTGATCCTCCTCTCCTGCTCCTCCTCTCCTGCTCTGTGGCTGAGACAAGGCACTTTTTTTATTCCAAAAGAAAAACATGTCTTATTACGAAAGAAGAAGCCCAGTTTAACTTTTCATTTCTTAACAAGTTTATCAATAACAGGTTTGAAGGTGAGGGAGTCATGGATTCCAGTTCCAGGGTTTTTATATTCATGTTCCACCTCAGTGAGCTTCCGCTCCACAGTGGACACTACTGGAAGGGTTGGAGGCACCTTCCTATCATTTGAAAACAACTTTAACTTTGTTTTCTCAGGATTAAAGGAATAGTACACCCAAAACATGATTAGCCTTCATTTTCTACTCACCCCCATGCTGAACAACACTCTGGAGTACTTTTTTGATATCTCAAATGCATCTGGAGATCTGGGAGGCTTCTTGCTGTCTGCTGACATTCAAATAATGGAGGTCTATGGCGCCCGAGACAGAAAGGTCCAAAAAAGTCCACAAAAAACGTGTCAATATTCCTCCATACTGCTCGTCCAATGTATTCCAAGTGTCCTGAGTGGGTAGCGTCCAGAATTTACTTGAAACGAAGTCATTTAGAATGTTTTTAGAGCATAAACAGTAGTGTATAGGATTTCCTGAAGATGATCTAGTTTGTTCGATCCATGCAAGGCAGGATTTCTGCTTCTGCACAACGTTCAGCATCAAGCTATGAATGATGGATAAATATGAAGCTTAGATGTTTGCCCACTGAAACATTCTCTTACTGAACGCTGCCAAACTGTTCGTTAATATCTACAATACAGACCATAAGTCTGGACAAACCTTATTCAAAGTTTCCTTTATTTTCATGACTATAAAAATGATAGATTCCCACTGAAGGCATCAGAACTATGAATGAACATGTGGAATTATATATATTATATATAATAATATATATACTGAACAGAAAAATGTGAAACAACTGAGAATATGTCTTCTATTCTAGATTCTTCAAAGTAGCCTCCTTTAGATTCGCTCACTCTTTCATTCTCTTGATGAGCTTCCAGAGGCCCTCACCTGAAATGGTTTCACTTCACAGGCGTCCCCTGTCAGCTTTAATAAGTGGGATTTCCTGCCTTATAAACGGGTTGGAACCATCAGGTGTGTTGAGCAGCAGTCAGGTGGGTTCACAGCTGATGGTCCTACTGAATAGACTGTTAGGATTTGGAATATGGCAAGAAAGCAGCAGCAAAGTAAAGAAAACTGAGCGGCCATCTTTAAGAAATGAAGGTCAGTCAGTCTGAAAGTGTTCCCAAGTGCAGTCAGTAAAACCATCTGGCTCTGGAAGCTCATCAAGAGAATGCCAAGATGTGATACCTGGATCCAGGTTAGGGAGGGAGCTTCAGTCTGAATCCTCACTTCATTATGGGATGGAAACACGCATGGTTGATGCTGATCAAATTAGGACTACAGTTTTCAGAAAGAGAACTACAAAAACCAAAGTTCCCCACATCTGTTGAACGTCTGAAGCTCCTGTTTTTAAAGTCCAAGCACCTAAAGGTGAAACTATCAGCATGAGCATCAACAGGGAAAATAATGTTGAATTCTGTGATGTGGCTGTGTCTATACGGCCTGTTAGCAATGCATTCTGGGAAACCATAAAGCTCCTAGACGCTGATTCAGTAGAAGTCAATTAGAAATACTTTATTAACACCAAAAGGAAATTAAATGTTGCATAAACTTAGAGGGTTTTTCATTTTTCCATGAGTTTCTGTAGATGTTGATGCTGATGGCAGGAAGGATCTCCTGTAGAGGTCTGTCTGGATCAGCTCCTGACTGAAGAGCCTCTATTGATGTTTAACATTCTGATGAAGAGGATGCTCACTGCTGTCCATCATCTTCTTCATCTCCAGAGGTTCTAGAGGAGTTCCTAGAACAGAGAACCTTCTTTATCAGCTCAGTCATTAGCTCTGATGATGATGTTGATGATGATGATGGAGGCAGAGATCAGACTGATAGATCTGCAGCCTCTGAAGGACCTCAGCTTCCTCTAGAAGTCCAGTCTGCTCTGTCCCTTCTTGCAGACGGCTTCAGGTGTGTCTCCAGTCCAGGTTGTTGTCCAGGTGAACACCAAGGGATTCCTCCTCCTCCTCCTCTTCTTCTCCCAGGATGTTAACAGGATTCAACTTGTTCCTGTTTCTTCTGAAATCTCCAATCATCTCCTTGTTTTGTTGACCTTCAGAATCAGATGATTGTTTCCACACCATGCCACAAAGCGCTTCACCAGCTCTCTGTCCTCAGCTTCTGCTCCATCTTTGATGCTCCCAATGACTGCAGAGTCATCCCAGGATTCCTGCTTATGACAGGATTCTGTCTGGTCCTGGAAGTCGGAGGTGAACAAGGAATGGAGAGAGTACCGTCCCCTGTGGAGCTCCTGAGCTGCTGGATCAGTCAGCTGAGCCTTCCGTCTAGCAACCTGTGGTCTGTCTGTCAGGTAGTCTATGATCCAGGTGGTTGTTGATGCCTCCACCTGAGTCTGCTGGAGTTTCTCTCTAAGTCAGTCAGGCTGAATCTGGAGAAATCAAAGACCATGATCCTCACAGTGCTGCCTGCCTTGGCTAAATGACAGTGTGTTTGTTGAAGCAGGTGGATGATGACATCATCAACTCCATCTCCAGGGTGATAAGCAAACTGCAGGTGATCCTGATAGCTGCTGATTAGCTTGCTGAGATGAACCAGCAGAAGTCTCTCTAGGACCTTTGTGATGTGGTTGTCAGGGCAACAGGTCTACAGTCACTGAGGACTGCTGGCTGAGTCTTCTTTGTGGCGGCCTAGTGGTCTAGTGGCCAAGTGGTTAGGGCATAGGGCTTTGAATCCTGAGGTTGTGAGTTCGATTAGTTTCGTTGCTCTGTACTTGTTACAGTGGAATGACAATAAAGTTGAATTCTATTCTATTCTTTTCTTTGGTCCTGGAACAAGGCAGGAGGTCTATAGTCACTGAGGACTGCTGGTTGAGTCTTTTTTGATCCTGGAACAAGGCAGGAGGTCTATAGTCACTGAGGACTGCTGGTTGAGTCTTCTTTGATCCTGGAACAAGGCAGGAGGTCTATAGTCACTGAGGACTGCTGGCTGAGTCTTCTTTGTGGCGGCCTAGTGGTCTAGTGGCCAAGTGGTTAGGGCATAGGGCTTTGAATCCTGAGGTTGTGAGTTCGATTAGTTTCGTTGCTCTGTACTTGTTACAGTGGAATGACAATAAAGTTGAATTCTATTCTATTCTTTTCTTTGGTCCTGGAACAAGGCAGGAGGTCTATAGTCACTGAGGACTGCTGGTTGAGTCTTCTTTGGTCCTGGAACAAGGCAGGAGGTCTATAGTCACTGAGGACTGCTGGTTGAGTCTTCTTTGATCCTGGAACAAGGCAGGAGGTCTATAGTCACTGAGGACTGCTGGTTGAGTCTTCTTTGGTCCTGGAACAAGGCAGGAGGTCTATAGTCACTGAGGACTGCTGGTTGAGTCTTTTTTGATCCTGGAACAAGGCAGGAGGTCTATAGTCACTGAGGACTGCTGGTTGAGTCTTCTTTGGTCCTGGAACAAGGCAGGAGGTCTATAGTCACTGAGGACCGCTGGCTGAGTCTTCTTTGATCCTGGAACAAGGCAGGAGGTCTATAGTCACTGAGGACCACTGGTTGAGTCTTTTTTGATCCTGGAACAAGGCAGGAGGTCTATAGTCACTGAGGACCGCTGGTTGAGTCTTTTTTGATCCTGGAACAAGGCAGGAGGTCTATAGTCACTGAGGACTGCTGGTTGAGTCTTCTTTGGTCCTGGAACAAGGCAGGAGGTCTATAGTCACTGAGGACTGCTGGCTGAGTCTTCTTTGATCCTGGAACAAGGCAGGAGGTCTATAGTCACTGAGGACTGCTGGTTGAGTCTGTTTTGATCCTGGAACAAGGCAGGAGGTCTATAGTCACTGAGGACCGCTGGCTGAGTCTTCTTTGATCCTGGAACAAGGCAGGAGGTCTATAGTCACTGAGGACTGCTGGTTGAGTCTGTTTTGATCCTGGAACAAGGCAGGAGGTCTATAGTCACTGAGGACCGCTGGCTGAGTCTTCTTTGATCCTGGAACAAGGCAGGAGGTCTATAGTCACTGAGGACTGCTGGTTGAGTCTGTTTTGATCCTGGAACAAGGCAGGAGGTCTATAGTCACTGAGGACTGCTGGCTGAGTCTTCTTTGATCCTGGAACAAGGCAGGAGGTCTATAGTCACTGAGGACTGCTGGTTGAGTCTTTTTTGATCCTGGAACAAGGCAGGAGGTCTATAGTCACTGAGGACTGCTGGTTGAGTCTTTTTTGATCCTGGAACAAGGCAGGAGGTCTATAGTCACTGAGGACTGCTGGTTGAGTCTTTTTTGATCCTGGAACAAGGCAGGAGGTCTATAGTCACTGAGGACTGCTGGCTGAGTCTTCTTTGATCCTGGAACAAGGCAGGAGGTCTATAGTCACTGAGGACTGCTGGTTGAGTCTGTTTTGATCCTGGAACAAGGCAGGAGGTCTATAGTCACTGAGGACCGCTGGCTGAGTCTTCTTTGATCCTGGAACAAGGCAGGAGGTCTATAGTCACTGAGGACTGCTGGTTGAGTCTGTTTTGATCCTGGAACAAGGCAGGAGGTCTATAGTCACTGAGGACCGCTGGCTGAGTCTTCTTTGGTCCTGGAACAAGGCAGGAGGTCTATAGTCACTGAGGACCGCTGGCTGAGTCTTCTTTGATCCTGGAACAAGGCAGGAGGTCTATAGTCACTGAGGACTGCTGGCTGAGTCTTCTTTGATCCTGGAACAAGGCAGGAGGTCTATAGTCACTGAGGACTGCTGGTTGAGTCTGTTTTGATCCTGGAACAAGGCAGGAGGTCTATAGTCACTGAGGACCGCTGGCTGAGTCTTCTTTGATCCTGGAACAAGGCAGGAGGTCTATAGTCACTGAGGACTGCTGGTTGAGTCTGTTTTGATCCTGGAACAAGGCAGGAGGTCTATAGTCACTGAGGACCGCTGGCTGAGTCTTCTTTGATCCTGGAACAAGGCAGGAGGTCTATAGTCACTGAGGACTGCTGGTTGAGTCTTTTTTGATCCTGGAACAAGGCAGGAGGTCTATAGTCACTGAGGACTGCTGGCTGAGTCTTCTTTGGTCCTGGAACAAGGCAGGAGGTCTATAGTCACTGAGGACTGCTGGCTGAGTCTTCTTTGGTCCTGGAACAAGGCAGGAGGTCTATAGTCACTGAGGACCGCTGGCTGAGTCTTCTTTGGTCCTGGAACAAGGCAGGAGGTCTATAGTCACTGAGGACCGCTGGCTGAGTCTTCTTTGATCCTGGAACAAGGCAGGAGGTCTATAGTCACTGAGGACTGCTGGCTGAGTCTTCTTTGATCCTGGAACAAGGCAGGAGGTCTATAGTCACTGAGGACTGCTGGTTGAGTCTGTTTTGATCCTGGAACAAGGCAGGAGGTCTATAGTCACTGAGGACCGCTGGCTGAGTCTTCTTTGATCCTGGAACAAGGCAGGAGGTCTATAGTCACTGAGGACTGCTGGTTGAGTCTGTTTTGATCCTGGAACAAGGCAGGAGGTCTATAGTCACTGAGGACCGCTGGCTGAGTCTTCTTTGATCCTGGAACAAGGCAGGAGGTCTATAGTCACTGAGGACTGCTGGTTGAGTCTTTTTTGATCCTGGAACAAGGCAGGAGGTCTATAGTCACTGAGGACTGCTGGTTGAGTCTTTTTTGATCCTGGAACAAGGCAGGAGGTCTATAGTCACTGAGGACTGCTGGCTGAGTCTTCTTTGGTCCTGGAACAAGGCAGGAGGTCTATAGTCACTGAGGACTGCTGGCTGAGTCTTCTTTGGTCCTGGAACAAGGCAGGAGGTCTTCCACATCCCTGGAACTGTCTCCAGGGTCAGACTAAGGGGGAGGAGGTGCTGTAGAATCCCACAGAGCTGCTCTGCTCAGGCCTTCAGGACTCTGACACCATCAGACCTCCTGACTGATTACCATCCAGTCTCTCCTGTTGCCTCTTTACTGACTTCTAGAGACAGACAGGTGGTAGGTGGAGGGAGCAGCACCACCTGCTGGTCTGGCTGATAATAGAAGCAGGAGAGTGAATGTCAGAGGAGGGCAGGATGTCCATGTGACTGGGCACGAAAGAAAGATGGTGAACTGAACCTGTTGAAGAATGTGGGCAACAGCACAAGGTGGAATCTAAACAGAACACTGCTGAACTCTGGGTAAATAACATGGAAACCAGCGGCTAACAGTTCAATATCCTGTTGGTAGTACAGGGTGGAGTGAGGCCACCGGCCACCATGTTGGTACTCCCTAGTTGGACCAGTTTGAATGTAAACAATTTGTGCGCTACAGCATCGAAAGACCATGATGTTCTCATATTCAGGGGACCTGTGTGTGTTAATGGAGGATAATAATACACAATAATAATAATAATAATAATAATAATAATAATATACATGTAATATACATGGATTTATTACACTGTTTTTACATCACCTTACAGGCATTTTTATGACACGACTGTGAGAGTGGGGAGCACCAAGACGGTGGCAGTTGACCTATCAGCAATCACGTGAATTAATAGAGATCAGTGACTCAAACTTTCTGCCGCATTTCTAGAAGATGAAGGTCTATGATGGGGGTTCCCCTCTTCCTCCCTCCATCCTCATTGGTTGGTCTGAATATTGCTGGGAGGAATAGGATGGATGGAAACTAAACTGATCGTTTACTGGATTAAACTCTCCTCCATCAGGTCAGCTGATGATGTTTCTTCCAGGTGAGGTTGTCTGTGATATCCACCTCCAGGAATGGTTCATTAGGTTTGATTTTTTTCATTATTTCTCCTGGAGATTCATTCTTTTACCAGTAAATGTTTGTATTTTGAGGAGAAGTTGTAAATTTATTCCAGAAGTGGAATCACTGTTTCATGTGCTGGATACAGACAGTTCTGTGGTTGAGAGAAGAGCAGCTGTGGTTAAAGAACAAAGCTCCTGGTAGGGTACCGACCCGCTGAACAACCCGATCCCTCTTCCAGATCTCTGGGTTCTGATCCAGGTTCTGGCTGCTGGGCAGCAGGTTCTGTTCTGGGCCAGCAGGGGGCAGTCTGGCTGCAGAGGCAGATCAGGAACCAACCAATCAAATGACTTCATGGAAAAACACTCCCTCTGTGAACATGCCTGTTGTCAGGGAGACCCATGACAATCCCAGTTGCCATAACAACCGTTGTGAGCCTGTTTAGGACTACAATCATTCCCATGATGCTCTCTGTTTCTCACAGACGTGGCAGAGAAGAGAATACGGAGACAGAGCATGCCCAGTGGCTCCATGGTGGACAGACCCCCAACCCGGGTGACGGTGAGCAAACTGACACACAGGCTGTAGTTTCCATGGTAACGGGAGGTGAGCTGCTGAGTGCTTCAACTCAGCATAGAAGCCCTTCAGGCCATGACACCTGCTTCACCCACTGACCCCTGCTTCATCCACTGACCCCTGCTTCACGCCCCCGACACCTGCTTCACTTCTGACCCCTGCTTCACCCACTGACACCTGCTTCACGCCCTGACCCCTGCTTCACGCCCTGACACCTGCTTCACCCACTGACCCCTGCTTCACGCCCTGACCCCTGCTTCACGCCCTGACACCTGCTTCACTTCTGACCCCTGCTTCACCCACTGACACCTGCTTCACGCCCCCGACACCTGCTTCACCCACTGACCCCTGCTTCACGCCCTGACACCTGCTTCACGCCCTGACACCTGCTTCACTTCTGACCCCTGCTTCACCCACTGACCCCTGCTTCACGCCCCCGACACCTGCTTCACTTCTGACCCCTGCTTCACCCACTGACACCTGCTTCACTTCTGACCCCTGCTTCACCCACTGACACCTGCTTCACGCCCTGACCCCTGCTTCACCCACTGACACCTGCTTCACCCACTGACCCCTGCTTCACGCCCTGACACCTGCTTCACCCACTGACCCCTGCTTCACGCCCCCGACACCTGCTTCACTTCTGACCCCTGCTTCACCCACTGCCACCTGCTTCAGGCCCTGACCCCTGCTTCACCCACTGACACCTGCTTCACGCCCTGACCCCTGCTTCACGCCCTGACACCTGCTTCACGCCCTGACCCCTGCTTCACGCCCTGACACCTGCTTCACTTCTGACCCCTGCTTCACCCACTGACACCTGCTTCACGCCCTGAAACCTGCTTCACGCCCTGACCCCTGCTTCACGCCCTGACACCTGCTTCACGCCCTGACACCTGCTTCACTTCTGACCCCTGCTTCACCCACTGACACCTGCTTCACGCCCCCGACACCTGCTTCACCCACTGACCCCTGCTTCACGCCCTGACACCTGCTTCACGCCCTGACACCTGCTTCACTTCTGACCCCTGCTTCACCCACTGACCCCTGCTTCACGCCCCCGACACCTGCTTCACTTCTGACCCCTGCTTCACCCACTGACACCTGCTTCACTTCTGACCCCTGCTTCACCCACTGACACCTGCTTCACGCCCTGACCCCTGCTTCACCCACTGACACCTGCTTCACCCACTGACCCCTGCTTCACGCCCTGACACCTGCTTCACCCACTGACCCCTGCTTCACGCCCCCGACACCTGCTTCACTTCTGACCCCTGCTTCACCCACTGCCACCTGCTTCAGGCCCTGACCCCTGCTTCACCCACTGCCACCTGCTTCACGCCCTGACCCCTGCTTCACGCCCTGACACCTGCTTCACGCCCTGACCCCTGCTTCACCCACTGCCACCTGCTTCACGCCCTGACACCTGCTTCACCCACTGACACCTGCTTCACGCCCTGACCCCTGCTTCACGCCCTGACACCTGCTTCACGCCCTGACCCCTGCTTCACGCCCTGACACCTGCTTCACGCCCTGACCCCTGCTTCACGCCCTGACACCTGCTTCACTTCTGACCCCTGCTTCACCCACTGACACCTGCTTCACCCACTGACACCTGCTTCACTTCTGACCCCTGCTTCACCCACTGACACCTGCTTCACGCCCTGACCCCTGCTTCACGCCCTGACACCTGCTTCACGCCCTGACCCCTGCTTCACGCCCTGACACCTGCTTCACTTCTGACCCCTGCTTCACCCACTGACACCTGCTTCACCCCCTGACACCTGCTTCACGCCCTGACCCCTGCTTCACGCCCTGACACCTGCTTCACCCACTGACACCTGCTTCACGCCCTGACCCCTGCTTCACCCACTGACACCTGCTTCACGCCCTGACCCCTGCTTCACGCCCTGACACCTGCTTCACGCCCTGACCCCTGCTTCACGCCCTGACACCTGCTTCACTTCTGACCCCTGCTTCACGCCCTGACACCTGCTTCACTTCTGACCCCTGCTTCACGCCCTGACACCTGCTTCACGCCCTGACCCCTGCTTCACGCCCTGACCCCTGCTTCACCCACTGACACCTGCTTCACTTCTGACCCCTGCTTCACTTCTGACCCCTGCTTCACCCACTGACACCTGCTTCACGCCCCCGACACCTGCTTCACTTCTGACCCCTGCTTCACCCACTGCCACCTGCTTCAGGCCCTGACCCCTGCTTCACGCCCTGACACCTGCTTCACTTCTGACCCCTGCTTCACCCACTGACACCTGCTTCACGCCCTGACCCCTGCTTCACGCCCTGACACCTGCTTTACTTCTGACCCCTGCTTCACCCACTGCCACCTGCTTCACGCCCCCGACACCTGCTTCACTTCTGACCCCTGCTTCACCCACTGCCACCTGCTTCACGCCCCCGACACCTGCTTCACTTGTGACCCCTGCTTCACCCACTGCCACCTGCTTCAGGCCCTGACACCTGCTTCACCCCCTGACCCCTGCTTCACCCCCTGACCCCTGCTTCACCCACTGACACCTGCTTCACGCCCTGACACCTGCTTCACGTCCTGACACCTGCTTCATGTCCAGACACCTGCTTCACCCACTGACACCTGCTTCACTCACTGACACCTGCTTCACCCACTGACACCTGCTTCACCCACTGACACCTGCTTCACCCCCTGACCCCTGCTTCACCCACTGACACCTGCTTCACCCCCTGACACCTGCTTCATGTCCTGACACCTGCTTCATGTCCAGACACCTGCTTCACCCACTGACACCTGCTTCACCCACTGACACCTGCTTCATGTCCTGACACCTGCTTCATGTCCAGACACCTGCTTCACCCACTGACACCTGCTTCATGTCCAGACACCTGCTTCACCCCCTGACCCCTGCTTCACCCACTGACACCTGCTTCAGGCCCTGACACCTGCTTCACCCCCTGACCCCTGCTTCACCCACTGACACCTGCTTCAGGCCCTGACACCTGCTTCACCCCCTGACCCCTGCTTCACCCCCTGACCCCTGCTTCACCCACTGACACCTGCTTCAGGCCCTGACACCTGCTTCACCCCCTGACACCTGCTTCACCCACTGACACCTGCTTCACGCCCTGACACCTGCTTCACGTCCTGACACCTGCTTCATGTCCTGACACCTGCTTCATGTCCAGACACCTGCTTCACCCACTGACACCTGCTTCACCCACTGACACCTGCTTCACCCACTGACACCTGCTTCATGTCCTGACACCTGCTTCATGTCCTGACACCTGCTTCATGTCCTGACACCTGCTTCATGTCCAGACACCTGCTTCACCCACTGACACCTGCTTCATGTCCAGACACCTGCTTCACCCCCTGACCCCTGCTTCACCCACTGACACCTGCTTCATGTCCAGACACCTGCTTCACCCACTGACACCTGCTTCACCCACTGACACCTGCTTCACCCCCTGACCCCTGCTTCACCCACTGACACCTGCTTCTCGTCCTGACCCCTGCTTCACCCACTGACACCTGCTTCACGCCCTGACACCTGCTTCACGTCCTGACACCTGCTTCACTTCTGACCCCTGCTTCACCCACTGCCACCTGCTTCAGGCCCTGACCCCTGCTTCACCCACTGACACCTGCTTCACGCCCTGACCCCTGCTTCACGCCCTGACCCCTGCTTCACGCCCTGACACCTGCTTCACGCCCTGACCCCTGCTTCACCCACTGACACCTGCTTCACCCACTGACACCTGCTTCACTTCTGACCCCTGCTTCACCCACTGCCACCTGCTTCACGCCCCCGACACCTGCTTCACTTCTGACCCCTGCTTCACCCACTGCCACCTGCTTCAGGCCCTGACCCCTGCTTCACCCACTGCCACCTGCTTCACGCCCCCGACAGGCCCTGACCCCTGCTTCACCCACTGACACCTGCTTCACGCCCTGACCCCTGCTTCACGCCCTGACACCTGCTTCACGCCCTGACCCCTGCTTCACTTGTGACCCCTGCTTCAGGCCCTGACACCTGCTTCACCCCCTGACCCCTGCTTCACCCCCTGACCCCTGCTTCACCCCCTGACACCTGCTTCACCCCCTGACCCCTGCTTCACCCACTGACCCCTGCTTCACGTCCTGACACCTGCTTCATGTCCAGACACCTGCTTCACCCACTGACACCTGCTTCACCCCCTGACCCCTGCTTCACCCCCTGACCCCTGCTTCACCCACTGACACCTGCTTCACGTCCTGACACCTGCTTCACGTCCTGACACCTGCTTCATGTCCAGACACCTGCTTCATGTCCAGACACCTGCTTCACCCCCTGACCCCTGCTTCACCCACTGACACCTGCTTCACGTCCTGACACCTGCTTCACGTCCTGACACCTGCTTCATGTCCAGACACCTGCTTCACCCCCTGACCCCTGCTTCACCCACTGACACCTGCTTCATGTCCAGACACCTGCTTCATGTCCTGACACCTGCTTCACCCACTGACACCTGCTTCACCCACTGACCCCTGCTTCACCCACTGACACCTGCTTCATGTCCTGACACCTGCTTCACGCCCTGACACCTGCTTCACGCCCTGACACCTGCTTCACGCCCAGACACCTGCTTCACGCCCAGACACCTGCTTCACCCACTGACACCTGCTTCACCCACTGACACCTGCTTCACCCACTGACACCTGCTTCACCCACTGACACCTGCTTCATGTCCTGACACCTGCTTCACGTCCTGACACCTGCTTCATGTCCTGACACCTGCTTCATGTCCTGACACCTGCTTCACCCACTGACACCTGCTTCACCCACTGACACCTGCTTCATGTCCTGACACCTGCTTCACGCCCTGACACCTGCTTCACGCCCAGACACCTGCTTCACCCACTGACACCTGCTTCACCCACTGACACCTGCTTCATGTCCTGACACCTGCTTCATGTCCTGACACCTGCTTCATGTCCTGACACCTGCTTCACGTCCAGACACCTGCTTCACCCCCTGACACCTGCTTCACCCACTGACACCTGCTTCACCCCCTGACCCCTGCTTCACCCACTGACACCTGCTTCACCCACTGACACCTGCTTCACCCACTGACACCTGCTTCACGCCCTGACACCTGCTTCACCCAATGACACCTGCTTCACCCACTGACACCTGCTTCACGCCCTGACACCTGCTTCATGTCCTGACACCTGCTTCACCCACTGACACCTGCTTCACCCCCTGACACCTGCTTCACCCCCTGACACCTGCTTCACCCACTGACACCTGCTTCACCCCCTGACACCTGCTTCACCCACTGACACCTGCTTCACCCCCTGACACCTGCTTCACCCACTGACACCTGCTTCATGTCCTGACACCTGCTTCACCCCCTGACACCTGCTTCACCCACTGACACCTGCTTCATGTCCTGACACCTGCTTCACCCACTGACACCTGCTTCACCCCCTGACACCTGCTTCACCCACTGACACCTGCTTCATGTCCTGACACCTGCTTCACCCACTGACACCTGCTTCACCCCCTGACACCTGCTTCACCCACTGACACCTGCTTCACCCCCTGACACCTGCTTCACCCACTGACACCTGCTTCACCCCCTGACACCTGCTTCACCCACTGACACCTGCTTCATGTCCTGACACCTGCTTCATGTCCTGACACCTGCTTCACCCCCTGACCCCTGCTTCACCCCCTGACCCCTGCTTCACCCCCTGACCCCTGCTTCACCCCCTGACCCCTGCTTCACCCACTGACACCTGCTTCACCCACTGACACCTGCTTCACCCACTGACACCTGCTTCACGCCCTGACACCTGCTTCACCCAATGACACCTGCTTCACCCACTGACACCTGCTTCATGTCCTGACACCTGCTTCACGCCCTGACACCTGCTTCACCCCCTGACCCCTGCTTCACGCCCTGACACCTGCTTCACCCACTGACACCTGCTTCATGTCCTGACACCTGCTTCACCCACTGACACCTGCTTCACCCCCTGACACCTGCTTCACCCACTGACACCTGCTTCACCCCCTGACACCTGCTTCACCCACTGACACCTGCTTCACCCCCTGACACCTGCTTCACCCCCTGACACCTGCTTCACCCCCTGACACCTGCTTCACCCCCTGACACCTGCTTCACCCACTGACACCTGCTTCACCCACTGACACCTGCTTCATGTCCTGACACCTGCTTCACCCCCTGACACCTGCTTCACCCCCTGACACCTGCTTCACCCACTGACACCTGCTTCATGTCCTGACACCTGGTTCACGCCCTGACACCTGCTTCATGTCCTGACACCTGGTTCACGCCCTGACACCTGCTTCATGTCCTGACACCTGCTTCACCCACTGACACCTGCTTCACCCCCTGACACCTGCTTCACCCCCTGACACCTGCTTCACCCACTGACACCTGCTTCATGTCCTGACACCTGCTTCACCCACTGACACCTGCTTCACCCCCTGACACCTGCTTCACCCACTGACACCTGCTTCATGTCCTGACACCTGCTTCACCCCCTGACACCTGCTTCACCCACTGACACCTGCTTCATGTCCTGACACCTGCTTCACCCACTGACACCTGCTTCACCCCCTGACACCTGCTTCACCCCCTGACACCTGCTTCACCCACTGACACCTGCTTCATGCCCTGACACCTGCTTCATGTCCTGACACCTGCTTCACGGCCTGACACCTGCTTCACCCACTGACACCTGCTTCATGTCCTGACACCTGGTTCACGCCCTGACACCTGCTTCATGTCCTGACACCTGCTTCACCCACTGACACCTGCTTCACCCCCTGACACCTGCTTCACCCCCTGACACCTGCTTCACCCACTGACACCTGCTTCATGTCCTGACACCTGCTTCACGCCCTGACACCTGCTTCACCCCCTGACACCTGCTTCACGCCCTGACACCTGCTTCATGTCCTGACACCTGCTTCACCCACTGACACCTGCTTCACCCCCTGACACCTGCTTCACCCACTGACACCTGCTTCACCCACTGACACCTGCTTCATGTCCTGATACCTGCTTCACCCCCTGACACCTGCTTCACGCCCTGACACCTGCTTCACCCACTGACACCTGCTTCACGCCCTGACACCTGCTTCACGCCCTGACACCTGCTTCACGGCCTGACACCTGCTTCACGGCCTGACACCTGCTTCACCCACTGACACCTGCTGTCTTCTCTGCTCCAGGGATTCCTATCCCACAGGCTCAAGCAGTCTCTGCGCCGCACTCGCTCTCAGCCCAAACTTTCGCGTCACATCAGCCTGAAGTCCGACTCCACCAAAGCTGCAGACAGCAGGTAACCTGACTGACCGAGGCCTGATCACACCGGGGCAGACAAAGCAAGCACAGAGTCACCCCTCCTCCTGAAACCCGTAAACCCCATCATCCTGGCTCATATATTAACCAGAGGCAGATCAGGACTAGGCCTGATTCAGCATTGAGCTGCTGTGACTCTGCAGGATTGGATTTTAAGCAGAACTTCAGCTGAAGGAACCATCTTCAGCTGTTCCTCCTCAGGGACATTAGAGCTCCCTTAGTCTATCTGGAGACTCTGAGCTTTCATCTAGAATGTGACCAGCCTGCACTTCATCACTACTTCACTGCCTGTGGTTGTTGTTTTCAGGTTTATATTGTCATTCCACTGTCAGGAAACCAAATCCCTCTTTGCAATTAATCCATCCCCTTGGGGACCAGTGGGCTGCCATTGTGCTGCACCCAGGGAGCAGTGTGGGGTAAGGGTCTTGCTCAGGGAGCCAGAGTGGCAGCCTGTGGGAGTGGGACTTGAACTCAGAACCTCAGGATTCCAAGCTCTATGCTCTATGCTCTAACCACTAGGCCACGTCTCCCCCGAGCAGTGATGTTGCCTCGTGTGGTGAGTCAGGGTTAAAACAGTGACATCCAATCAGCTTCCCATCAGAGCCCATAGAGCCACTTGGACACAACAAAAAGACGTTTTAATCACTTTTTCTGAAGATAGGTTTTGGTTAAGTAAATGTCTGCTGTAGCTTCTTTAGTGGCCTCATTTAACATAGAAAGATCAAAATAGATACAACCGAGTAACATTTCTACTGATTTCTATAGGAGGACCAATTAGGGTGGTTCAGAGTGGTTCAGAAACATGGGAAGGTTTGGGAATGGTCTTGTCGAAGACCAGACTGGGACCAGATTCAGATGTCTGACCTTAAAAGGCTGTTTCTTCTGGAAATCTGTTTAAGCAGGCTAAGCTAAAACAATTCAGTTAACATCGTGTTTGTGCACCACTGCACTGATATAGAACACATAATTATTGGTTGATTAATGGAGTTATTTCCTTTTCAGATTAAATGTGTGAAGATAAGAGTGGGTAGGTCTGCGGGTGTTTTGAGCAAAGCAAATACAGTCTAAGATGGTCTGAAAGGCTACATTTAGGCTTTGGTGTCAATGGGAATGTTAAAATTAGAACATTAGACTGAACCAGCTAAGAAATAAAAAAACTGATCTGAAAGTTAACAATGAGGACCGACCTTCCTTCCTTCCTTCCTTCCTTCCTTCCTTCCTTCCTTCCTTCCTTCCTTCCTTCCTTCCTTCCTTCCTTCCTTCCTTCCTTCCTTCCTTCCTTCCTTCCTTCCTTCCTTCCTTCCTTCCTTCCTTCCTTCCTTCCTTCCTTCCTTCCTTCCTTCCTTCCTTCCTTCCTTCCTGTGATCCAGGGTTTCATAGAACTTCCAAAACCAGTCTGTGAGAGTGAGGCTGTCTTACTGGAGACTAACGATTGGTCTGTGAAGGGAGGGGGCCAGAGGACACCCATCCATCCAGTGGACTGGTTTCACTGGTTTCAGCAGTTTCTGACTGGTTGGTTTTAAACAGATGAAGCAGCGAAGTTCAGCAGATCAGTGTTCTCCACTGCATCATCATTAGATCATATATGCTCCTCGTCTCCTCTCCCCTCCAACAGAGGAGAGAGGAGATGAGGGGAGGAAGTAGGGCAGCTTCACTGCAGGGGAGGGGCGACTGCTGCTGGGGGGGAGGGGGGAGTCACATAGAGACAGACAGACGGAAAGAGAGAGGGAGCAGTGATGCTGTGAAACTTCATCAGCAGACAGACCGACGGACAGGATCAGCAGCTCCTCCATTTTCCTCCTCCTCCTCCTCCTGCCGCTGGTGTTTGCTGCTGAAGGAGGACATGGCTGCATAACCCCCCTCCCTCCTCATCCTCCTCCTCTTCCTCACAGGATGCTCGGTGAGTCTCATTAACCGTCTTTGTCCTCTGAGCAGATAAAGCTGCGGCAGTCTGTGTGAGATGCTGCGTCTTCAGGGACGCGTCCCTCTGATCTCCATGTCCATAATCCTCGGCGTGAGTGTGTGTGTGTGTGTGTGATGTTTAGCTAAACATGCTAACAGTGTGTGTTAGCCCATGCTAACGGATCAGCCTGAATAACACACACACACACACACCCAGCGGGTGTGTAAGCAGCCTGCATTCAGCAGCTGATCCTCTGCCTGCCTGGTTCTGTGCTGATCTGGACCTGAATCCAGACCGTCCTTTCTGTCTGTTTATCTTCCCTGTGATGCTGGAAATAAGGCCCAGCTGTTGCTAGGCGACAGCATACCTGTAACCTGTTTCAACAAGGTGTTTGTGACGTCAGCATCACCCTGTGGGCTGAAGCCCTACTGAGGATGGTTCTGGTCTGACACAGAACCTGCTGGTTATACTCTGGGGACAGTTCTGTTCCGTTCCTCCGTTCTTCTCTGCCTGGGCCCAACCTTTGGTTCCACATAAATCACATCAGATTTGAAG